AAAGAGGGAAAAAGAAATATTACTTCATTCCTAAAATAGGTATCAATAATGGCCGATCAATATTTTGTGTGTTTAAAGTGGGTAATGTATATTTTGTGTTTAGAGTGGAGAGCTCTATTGAGTTTATTGTTCTGGATCTGAGTTCAAGTCCTGGATATCGTTATCAATTTTCTGTCTCGTTGAATCTAAATCTCATTATGGGTCTTATGTATCTGGGTGTTAAGATCTCTTATTATTACATTAATCCTTTTACCCTTGTATCCTTGTAGCTTTAAAATCCATTTTATTAATTATGAGAATTGCAACTCCTGCTTTTCAGTGTTCTCTCTTTTTTGGTGATTTCTCTTCTTAACCAGGTGAAATTAACCACTGGAGCCATAGTCCACCCTCAGTGCAGCTGTCTTCCTCAGGTAAGGAGATCAGGAGAGAATCCAAGAATATCCTATCCTCTCCTTCATGGAGCCACTTCCTCAGCCCATACCTCTCTTCCTCCATATCCTCCTGATAAGAAAGTGAGGGCCTTTATAAACGTGTCTTTGTTGTGGCCCCCAGAAGCTGCTGAAACAGATCAGGACATTGATTACATCAGCCCCAAGGGAATGGTGAGCCCCAATTCTCTTGCTCATCCTGAATCCTGCTCAGTTATGCTACCCAACAAAGCAAGGTGAACAAGGAGCACCAGATGAAAATGTGGTCTAAGTAATATGCTAACACTATAAAATTCTTGAAATTTACTGCCACCTTATAAATGTTAACAATACAAACATTCTCCCATTATCAATTCAATCTGTTGCTCCCACAGAGAAGTCTCAGTCCAAAGTTCTGCTCTGCCATTTTTCCTTTTACTGGCTCAGTTACAGGCAGAAGAGATGGTATTTGGGGATCTGGGTGGACTCTGGGATCCTTCTTCAGCAGCTGCACCCTGGGCTGTCTGCCAATATAATTGGAGTAGAGCCTTAGCACCTCCAAAGTTTGATTATTTCAACCCTAAGACTCTCAGTTTCCTCTTCTCTAAAACACCTAAGGGTCAATAGAACACATGAGAATATCATAGCACCAGTCTTAATTCCACAAAATTCAGAAGCACAAACAAATTCCCAGTTAATAATATAAACATCAATTTCCATTGGATGGGTGTTCCCAAGCAAAAGATAACTTTCCCAGAGCCCAACCCATGTTATACTCCAGACGCTTGTTGCTAGTGCCAGTTGCAGACCATTGTAAAGATTTGGTGTTATCTATGTTTGCAAGGAAACAAAGAAGGAGAAGGGCCTTTTCCTTTAGATTTCAGGATGCCAGTGAACTTATGCCAACTGTTAGAACTCAAGCAGTGGGCAGTCAAGTTCACAGGAGAAAGCCTGTATGAATTGTGTTGTGTACTCCTTGCTGTACTTTGCCTACATAACTAAGTTTATGTGCACAATTAAAATGGCAACTTAAAAATAAAGATGAAGGATGTTCTATTGCACTCATTGCTAACTCTGCTATTGCCAAGAGCAATCACCAGTGAAGAGACAGAGCCATCAGTATTTGAATTTAAATGTTGAAATAATAATAAAGCCTATGGTCTCCCTAAGGTTAGTTTATAATAAAAATAACTTCTTGATCCTGGAAAACTTATCTGGTTTCTTTCTTACTTTCATTCTCCACTTAATGACTGAAGTTATTATTTCCATGGTGGTCTCCAAACCACACTTGGTTTCTATGTAGATTGGCATGTCACCTCCTACAATTTCACCAGCTGCCTTTTCCTCTCAAGAGAATATGATTAAAATATTAATCCAGCTTCTGGACTAATCTAGCAAGAGAGTTATATAAATTTCTACATAGCACAGCACTTGCTATTAAATATGTAACATGTCCTCCCTTTTATTTTTTTATGCCTCCACAGTTAAGTTAGCTCCTAGCAAAACAGATACAAAAATTTTACCTTCCTGGCCCTCTGCTGCTTGTTCTTTCTGACTTCTCAAGTCCGAATTTGAATAATTACAAGGCCAAGTACAAAATGTTGTTTCCAATGGGTAGAAATGGGCTGGAGGAAAACATCTGGGGGCCTAAGCTAAGCCACTGTGACTGGCCAACTCTCTGGCAGCTGTGACCTTTGCAAAACCCCGGTAGACAGAGGCCCTGCTCACAGTAATCTGTGACAGCGTCCTCTTGGTGGTGCCAATTCACCGATTTGTCCTGCTTACTGGAAATTGTCCAGAACTGCAAAGCCATCACTCAGCATTTACAGAAACCGCCTCTGGGCCTATCATTGGGCTAAATCCTTGCTTTTGAGGAGCTTACAATCTAAGTACTATAATTAGAGACCAACTGAGTATTAAACGATGTGACACTAAGTAGGAGTTTGAAGAAAATGATCATTGTGGGCTAGAGCCGTTGGGAAAGATTTCGTAGAGATTGTGGAACATTGAGGGGGAAAAGTAACATAATCCTTGAGGTCTATGAAGCTGATAAATGTGCTTAGGATAAGAGAACTCCAGGGAGTGTATCAGGCTTACCTGTGGAACTCATCACTAAGAGGATGGGATTCCTCTCAGGTCAAGAGGAAATTTAATCTTTCCTGAAATTCTTTAGCATTTGAATCATGATGGTGATGTTGCTGACATAAAAATCAGACATCCTTAATTTATTCAGGCCTCCAATATAGACATGTCATTGAAGGAAATGACTTACTACCAATGCCAGCCCAGGCTAGATTAAGAGCTGACAGCACTTGCATGTGAAGTCAGGATTACTGGTGGAGTTGTGATAGGTCTTTTCCAAAGGGCACTAACAGCCAAGAGAGATAACTGGTAATACCTTCTGGGATTAGGATTAAAACTATCAAACAGTAGAATTCTATCTGTTCCATTAATTTTAAAAAAATCACACAGTAGGTTTTAGTCTAAGTAATTAATGGCAATAGCAACACTTTATCATTTTCCCTTAATTATTAACTTTGCATTCTTCTGCATATTTTAATTGAAATATATGCATTATACGACAAAAGTGCCTCTGAAGAAACAATCAAAACCTGATCAGCTCTTCCCATGATTAATGACAGAACTGGTGGGCAGAGCTGACAGCATTTTTCAATATGGCAAACTTTATTCTCCAAAAGGAAAAAAAAGTCAAGACCCATTGTCCCCCTCACATTTAGTTAAATTTCTAACAGAATAAAGTAATGCAATGGGTTATCTTACCTTAAGAAATTATTATGTAAAACTGAAATATACCACTATTTCTCTCTTTTGGGTGGATTTCTTTTTAATGGAGGAGTAATCATAATTTATTCCAAGTGTAATTTCCAGATCAGGTTTTCCATAAGATAGACAGAGACCTTGCTCAGTCTGACGTTTCTGAACAGTCCCTCCTCACTTCAGCCTGGGAACTGACAGCAAAGTGGGTGGCTGCAGGCATGGGACAGGGGCTCTCTATGGGCATCAAAAAGTCAATCGAAGGAGATGTAGCATTCACTCAGCACTCTGCTGACAGTAACCCAGTCCATTTTTCTCTATTTAAAGACTTTAATTTGGGGCCTGAGACCCACCACTCCCATACACAATATTCAGTAGTTTATGAGCATATTAGAAGTTCCCAGTTATGGGTATAGGCAGCAGGCGCATATCTACATATTCTCAGCCAACATAATCTAGGAATTGAGTTTGTTGTGCTGACTACAAGCCTAGGACTCTTCCAGACCAGCAACTCCAGCCTTTAACCCCTCCCCTTCTCCAAAACAAGAAAACATGGCAGAATGTTAGATGAGAGAGTATAGAGGCTTGATTCTACCAGAAGAGTTTTTTTAAATAATTAATTTTTTTTTGAGACATGGCCTTGCCACGTTACTCAGGCTGGAGTGCAGAGGTGCTCATTGCAACCTCTGCCTCCTGGGGTCAAGTGATCCTCCCGCCTCAGCCTTCCAGGTAGCTGGGACTAAGGAGCATGCTACTACACCTGGCTGATTTTTTGTATTTTTTGTAAAGAATAGGGTCTCGCCATGTTGCTTAGGTTGGTCTCGATCTCATGAGCTCAAACAATCCACCCACCTTGGCCTCCCAAAGTTCTGGGATTACAGGTGTGAACCACCACTCCCAGCTATGTTTTTAATTTAAAAATAATTCATAAATGTTGGCACTTTATCAAGATGAAAAATGAATTGAAACACTTCAGAGTGGCAGCACCATGCCGAGAACTGCTGCATTGAACACTAAAGCTAAGTCACCCGGTGTAGAGTCACATGAGTCAACTCTAACTCCCTGACTGGCTGTCTGCCTGGCAGACATTCTCTTTATAGAGAATAGACCAATACCCATGACTGTATACAGTGATAATTAAGAGCACAGATTCTGAGGCCAGCCTGCCTAAATTCAGATCCTAGCTTCACATTGTTTGCCCTTCATTGGAGCTGTTCACAAAAATTTCAGTTTTCTTTTTCCTGATGTAGATGATGGATTACACTATTTGCTGCCTTGAAGTTGGGCATGGTCCTGTGACTTGCTTTAATTCTTTTGAGAGCAAAAGTGATGTGTTGCTTCTGGGCAAAATCCAGGAAGCTCTCCATACTCAAAGTGTGGCCCATGGTCCAGCAGTATAGGCATCGTCTAGAAGGCTGATAGAAACATGGCATCTCAGGCACCTCTAGGACTTCCTGAATCAGAATGTGGATTTAATAAGCTTCCCAGCAGATGCCTATGCTTATGTCGGTGAAGCCTGCCCTAAGGTATAAAGCATTATTCACCATGTTCTCTTCTCTGGCCATAGCAGCTGATGGTTCCTGGTGGTGGAGTTTCCTTTAGCCAGGCTCCTGGTCTGACCTGAGATGGACAACAAGCAAGACGTGAGAAAAATAAGCCTTTGTTCTAAGCCACTACAACTTGAAGGCTGTTAAATTGGTTTAACTAGCTCCTTCTGAGTGATGTGATTGCTTAGCACTCTGTGACCCTGGGCAAGTTACATAATCTCCCTGTGCCTCAGCTTCCTTGATGTAAAACAAATTAATATTTTAAATATGGTGATCATAAATAAAATGTATCATTTATTCTAAACTCAAATAAAATGATACATTATCTTTTCTCCTTGCCACTCTCTTGAATTGTATATATGGAAATAAAACATTCCAACCCAGAAAACATATTTTGGTGTCTTAGATTTTTTCCTTTACATGTATAAACTGACTTTTAAAAAGGAAAAACAAAACCTTAGTACTGAAGCAATTCACAATGAGTTGTACAATGAGCCATATTATTTGGCTCCAAAGTCACAGAATTTGAACAAGCAGCTTCCAACCTCAGCCTTTTACCTACTCTAGACCAGGGGCAGCTAACATTTTCTCAAAGGGCCAGATGCTAAATATTTTAGGCTTTGTGAGCCACATGGTTCATCACAACTGCTCAACCCTGCCATTGTAGCACAAGAGCAGCCACAGACAACCCAGAAACAAATGGGCATGGCTGTAGTCCAGTGTAGCTTTATTTATGGACACTGAAATTTGATTGCCATAAAAGGTTCATGGGTCACTAAATATTATTCTTCTTTTGATTTTTTTCCAATCACTCAGAATTGTAAAACATATTTTTCAGTCATGAGTGGTACCAAAACAGGCAGTGGGCTGAATATGGCCCACGGGCCATACTTTGTGGACTCCTGCTCTAGATTCTCAAGTTCATGCTTCAACTTGTTAAAGAAAAATCTATTCTGACACTTGTTAAGGTAGGAAGACTTTATTCAGGTCTATAGTGATAGGTTTTAAAACTACCACAGCAGAGGAGAGAGATTGGACTCAACTCTGAATAAAACCAGAACATGTCAGGGTTTATAACTAATAGGCAGAGTGAGGGGGTGAGTGATTAGAAAATTACTAAGAGGTAGCTACCTAGAGTAGGGGAGTTTTTGCAAAATGAACTTAACAGTTTCTCGTTGAACAGAGGCCAAGGACTTAAACATCAAAAGTAAAGGATGAGAAATTTCATAGATACTGAGGATGGAGGAGTCTCTCTAAACTGACTTAGGAGGATTCTTACTAAAACTGGGCTATATAGGCCTAGCAAGAATGGGGACCAAGGTGGAGGCCTGGGTGAGAAGAGGATTCAGGACCTGACCAATGTTTGGTCAAGGAGAGTCTTTGTCAAACTGCACCACAAAGCGTCCTTAATAGTCATGGATATGTGGTGTTCAACTCAATATCCACTTAAAAATCGGGTGAGAAATAGTCACAAGCCTGTTTTTATTAGCTCTACTTAAAGAAAATGTAAGATCCTAAAGGTGTCAAACTTTCAGCAGAACTTACACCAGTCTTACCCATAAAAATAAATACCCCTCACTCCTTTCCTCACTACACAAAATTAGCAGTTTACAAAGGAAATAGCTGGCGGTTGTCTTCATAGATTAAGTCAATGTAGTCTCATTCCTTTGCCAAAAGGCAGAGAAACCCGTTCCTGTTTCTCTTTTCCCTGAGGCCAGTCAAGTCCAGTTAATGTAGGACCACTGGGAAAGACAAGCTTTGGCTTCATCACAGATTTTTAACAAGGCACTATACTACTTTTAAAAAAGATTTACGTAATTTTTTCAAGAGCTTTGGCTTGTGCTATTTTTACTGACGTTTTGAAAGTAGCAGTGCTTACAACATTTTAAGACTAGATGTCTCTATGGAAACCCAAGACAACTCATATTTTATGGCCAAACAACAACCTACCTAGAGTCTTTATCCCATTGGATCACCACAGGTCATCTGCAATATCAGAAACATCTGAAGTCTATTTTTTCAAAACCCTATCTTATCAGGCTTAATGAAATTTATATAATTATTACTTTTGCTGAGGAGGAAGTTAGGAAGGAAAGGATTTATTTCTCAGGCTTAATTCTAATGCTTAAGACATTATTTAAAATATTCTTATTAGAAAAATTTTTATCAATTTTGGCAGACATAGTAAAAGAGGAGGAATGCAATCAAATAATTTAATAGCTGCTTTGAAATTTATGTCATTAATTTTCCTCCTCTCCTTTCCATCAGTGTCAAATACATTTCTGTTTAAAACGTAACGGCTCCTCTTCCCACAGACTGCTTAATCATTGCAACAGAGAAAAAACTAATTATATAGTTAAGAAATAGAAACACACCTTGACCAGATGACCAAAATTGACATCACCTTTGTGTGATGGCCTTTTTGTGCCTTCAGATGTGATATCCCATGAGGAACTTAACATCACCCAGAATGTACGACCTGAATCTAATCATGAGAAAACACCAAATATATTTAAAACAAGGACCATTCTATTATTTAAAAAAGAGAAGAAAATGTAGAGGAGGCAAAATGACTGTATTATTTAAAAATGGCAATTCACAAAAGACAAAGAAAGCCCATGGAAATGTTCCAGATGAAAAGAAGCTAAAGGCAGCCAGGTGCAGTGGCTCATGCCCATAATCCCAGCACTTTGGGAGACCAAGGTAGGAGGATCCCTTCAGCCTAGGAGTTTGAGATCAGCCTGGGTAACATAGGGAGACTCTGTCTCTACAAAAAAAAAAAAGAAGTTTAGGTGTGGTGACATGAGTCTGTGGTCCCGGCTACTCAGGAGGCTAAGGAGGGAGGATTGCTTGAGCCAAGTTGAGGCTGCAGTGAGCTGTGATCATGCCACCAGGTGACAGAGTGAGACCTATCTCCAAAAAAAAGGAAGATGGATTCAAGAAAATGTAACACTGGACTCTAGACCACATCTGGGATTGTAGGGCAGTGGGAAAACTTCTTTAAAGGACATTATTTGTTCAGCTGCTAGAACTGGAATACAAATGATGAATTTGAGTATATCAATGTTAAATTTACTTAATAACTGTATTGTGATTATATAAGAAAATATCCAATGCTTATGAAATACTGAAGCATTTTGGGGTAAAAGGCATCTATTTTCTTTTCTTAATTTTTCTTTAACCTTTTTGTTGGGAAAGTTTATATGTAAACTTTCCCAACAAAAAGGTTAAAGAAAAATTAAGAGTTCTTGCCTACACTGAAGTTCTTGGCCATCTATTTTCTCTCTGTGATATTCCAAATACAACACAGGATGAGATGGCTATGCCAAGTAACAAGAAAGCACAAAGATATTTTAACATGATCTTTTATCAGTGATTGAAGCCTGCCAAGGCATTACATACCACTCATTCTCCATAGTTTGTTGCAAGACCAGCAAACATTGGATAACTCTAGCAGCTTCTAAATGTAATCATTTCCCCGGATTTTGCTAAACAGGGCAGTAATTGTAAAACCATTTTGTATCTCACAACTTTCAGAACTATTTCATATACAAAGTAAGTCTTTCAGCTGGTCTCTTGGACAGGCACTATCAGCATCAATCAATTGAATTCAAGCTTTTGAACTAGGACATCTTAATATTTTAATCCATGTCTAAGTAGCTGGGGAATGTGGTACTCAGGAAGCTGGATGAGCTCATCATATATCCATAATTTCTCATCATCACTTGGAAATTGTAATTCCACAGAGATAATGTCTATGGCACCCTCAATGGTCCTGCCCTCTGATCTGCAGTATGCCATATTACTGATTTTCCCCCAAAGTGATAGAGGGAACTATGCTCCAGTGCAAAAATTCAGGATAGACTTTTTGATAAGTCAGTCACTAGGGAGGGAACCAAAAAGATGGTAAACCACAATTAAATTGTTCAGGAAACACCACTTATCCACCATTCTCCAAAATAGCAAAGACAGAACATATGTATATTGTTAAGTCTTTTCTATTCTTCCCCGTTTATCATTTTATAATTTCCTTGATTCTTTTAGTAGCAATCATCTCTGGGCTAGAATACTCATAGACTATTTTCAGCTTTGGCTTTTTGCCCTAGATAGTCTTATTATTCACTTTTCCCCAAATTTCAATCAGTAATTTCATTTAGCAAATGTTTACCACGAATCTACTGGACATAAGATGTTCAGCCAGACTTACTGGGTGGTACTCTACAGAGGCAAGACTTCAGATTGGTTGTCCTACAAATAATCTCCAAGAAAATGACATGAACACAATAAGTGCAATGAAATCTGCTTACAGAAAAGCAAAAGAAGCCAGAAATAAATTACGATCAACTGCAAAAAGGAACAAACTAGTCAAAGCACTCAAATTTAATGAGAAGATAATTTTTAAAGTGGATGAAATTGAAGGTGCATGTAATATTATTGTAGATTTAAAATCATGCATATTCTTCTCCATAAAACTTCTCACATGCAGTTAAAAAGACACACACACAAAACCAAGCAATTATAAATCCTCTGAAGCATGTAACTGTGATTAGCTGCTACTCTCAGCAATGTAAAAATACTTTCACCACAATTACATTCCAGCCTGTAATGTAATTCAAAACAAACAAGTCAGAGACATCGCTCAAATGGCACAACCAACAAATACAGATGCTTTGCATCAAGGAAATGAATCTATGGAAGAAATGCAACAGAGGAGCAGCAGCCCCTCCAGAGGCTGGAGCTGGGCTTCTGGTGGAACGGCGAGGCCCCCTTCTGGGCAGAGGCACACAGTACGCCCAATGGAGCTGTGCAACGCTGCCCTGCAGTCAGGGAGGTGAACAGGGGACTTCTGCTGTGGATACCCTTTCCAGTGGTGTGTTCAGAGTTTTACATTTTAGATTTCAAATTTTAAATTTATTATATGGATTTTTAAAGACATATTTATTTGGTTTCAGAGTAAATTGACCATTCTGTTTTTCAGCCAGCATTCTCACCACCAAACTGGCACATCTATCCCCTTTGCCCTTTGTTCCTTTTGCTTTTTGCCGTAACTCTTACTGTCCTCCAATAAGCTGTGTAATCTATTATATCCATCTCCCCTTGCTAGAATATCAGCTCTATGAGGGCGGGATCATTTGTTTTTTTGCTCAATAACCATCCTCCCATGTATGTCTTTATTCTGTTAAGACTATTCATCTTCAAAGAAGACATAAATAAGGTTTTATTATAGCAATATGCTACAATTTTTAAAAGACAACTCAAGCACTTGTTTTAAAAGTATGCATTTTCTCTAAATGCTTTATAAAAGCAAAGTCTTTTCTAGGGATCATATAACTATGGTCTATGTATACACAACTCGTATACAATTTAGAGAGAAGTCACAGCCCCCAGTGCCCTGCAAGAACACAGTAACTGCAAAAAATGTTAACTCTGACTGTGAAATGCCAGTCCTGGAGGTGTTCTCAGGGTGGCACATTGCAGTCCAGACACACGGGTCTGGCCACACATTCTCTAAAAATCAGCACTTGCCTGGGCCAGGTATAATGTTGTGGCTAGAAGGGAACATACTACTTGCTAATTTCTAAAACCTCAAACCTTAACTTTCCCCCATCCTAAGATGGGAATCAGCTTGTGGAAAAGCTAATAATTGTTTACAATTGTCAGGCTTCTAAAAAGTGCTAATTTTTTCCCTTAACAGAGCAAATGATGAGAGACACCATTTTCCCACAGATTAAAAACAATATATAAACATATGATTCAACGATGTCAACAACTCTCAATCTCGGAATCTTCTCCAGGTCACTTTGGGTCACTTGGTTCTTTCATCAGAACAAGTTCAAGATTTCTGACACTCCTTTTTCCGAACTTTGGATTTTGGTGCTGTGAAAAGAATAGAAAAGAAAAAGAAAGTGAAGAGGTAAGCTCATATCAGACTCTCCTTGTATGGATTTAAGGGAGGTATATTATCTACAATAGAAAACTGACCATTTGGATTTTCTTGTTTGTAGAAGGTCTTCAGCATTTCCACTGCTTCCTCAGCCCGATATCCAGGGATACACTGATGAGAAAGTGGAGAATGAACATAGGCCCATGCAAATGTGTGTAGTATCCCATAATGACAATAATATATGCATAATTATGTAAACAGATTTCTGATGTTAATAAACTTTGGGGATATTAGTAGCATGGGCAAGGAGGTACACTTCCAAAAGATGTTTGATACATGGCCTCAGTGCAGAATCACTCCCAATCAACTAGTATTCATCCATCAACTGTTAGAGAAGTTACCAGCTTTGTGATCTTGGGTTAGGCACTTAAACTCTCCATGCCTTGTTTGTAAAATGTTGGCAGTAATAGCACTTATTTCTGAGGGATTTTGTGAGGATTAAGTGAGATAATACCTGTCAAATACCTGGCACATCATAAGTGCTCATTGAGCATGAGTTATTTTTATCTGCTCCTATTTACTACTGGCCCATTAAGCGTTTGATGCTCTTGAGCTAGGGTTGGCAAATTATACTTGGTGGACAAAATCTGGTCCACAGCTGAGAACTGTGAACTAAGAATGGTTTTTATATTTTAAAAGCTTTGTTTAAAAAAAAAGAAAAGATTAGGTGACAAGAGACATAAGCGGCTCACAAAGGGTGAAATATATACTAGCTAACCCTTTGCAGAAAAAGTTTGTCAACCCTTGCTACAGAGGATTTAAAAAAATAAAATTCAGCTTGATCTGTCATTAGCATATAACTGGGGAAATCATAACACATGAAAGAATAAATAAGAAATAAGTAAGAAGTGTTATCATATGAAATATTACCTGAAGAAGATGAAACTTGCCTTAGAGATAGAGAATGTTTAAAGAGGCTAAGCAGAGCCTTTCAGGGAAAGGTCAAGCAGCAGCCTGGGCTGTGTGTGAGGAAATCAGCGGATAGAGGAGGAGGTGATTAAGGAAGCATAAGGAAAGAAAGACATAAAATGGGGTAAAAAAAATATGGATGGCTTTAAAAGCTTGTCAGAAGAGTTTGGACTTAAAACCATGCACCCTTCTAAAGTGCATGAAATGACACAATGAGCATCTGGAAGGAAGGCACCAGAAAGCACAGCCACAGAGGACAGGAGGACCAACTACTGTGGGACACTGTTCAGAACGATCCTCCCATTCTCCTGTGTCTTTAATGTGCCCTTGCCTGGGCCTCCCATGCCTGCATAAACCTTCACCATAACAAATAACCTTCCATCCACCCTGCCCTGTTGAGGGCTGCCACCCTGTTCCTGCCTTCTTTCATGCTCTCACTTCCTCAGTGGCCTCACTGTCACTGGCTTGCGTTCCCAGCACGTCACTGAGTCTGCTCTCTCAGAAATCCCCAGGTTCTTACTGACCAAAGCACTGGGCCTCCTTTCAGTTTTCTCAACTCTGCAGTCCTGGAGGCAATGGGCCACACCTGCTCTGTCTGACCGCTCTTGCCTCCCTTAGCTTCTCAGCATCTCACGATGCTAACCACTGCCGGCCAGTCCCATCACAGTTGCCCTCTGCTTCCTGCTGTATAAGTGCTGGAGCTCCCCAGGGTCCCCCTCCATGCCACTCACACACTCAGAGCCCTCTCCTCTCATGTGGGGTGAGAGCTGTGGTTCTCAACCATGGCTGCTCAGGAGAACTGCTTGGAACTTGCTAGAAACACAGCACTGTTGGCCCCCTGCCTTCTGATTCAGATGGTCTGGGGCAGGAACTGAGCACAGGAAGGCACTGAAGCTCTCCAGATGATTCTAATAGGCATTCAGGGATGAGAACCACTGAGTTACAGGCCTTGAAGGAAACTGTACCACTCTAACACACCAAGATAATATTTTCAAGTATCCATTATAGAGACAAATTTGTGACGTTAATAAAGAGCACACATTCTTAATAAAATAAAAATTTTAAAAATATAACAGGTATTAAAATCACCATCTTCTTTGAATAGTTCTGTAGGCCTCTACAAATTGTAATGCTCCTTATAATATAGTATGAAAAGAATCTGTAATTCTACAATAAAAAACAGTATCCTACCTCCTAATCACCTGCTGCCTCACAAGCCCAGTGAAATAAAAAAAGAATACCCAGCACTCAGAGCCTGGGACACCACTGTTTTCTTTAGAATCTAAAAGCAACTTGAAAAAAATAACAATTTGGCATTAAGCCTGGAGATATGGCTGCAAGCCATAGGCATTGATTGGCAGCTGAACTGACGTGGCCAGGTATACACACTGCAAATGATCTTGCTTTGGTTCTGCTGCCTCCACCACAGAGATGTGTGAGAAAGGACTGTGTTTGTGCCCTCATGTCACTGACACGTTGGAGGGGAATATTCCACCCCTGTCTGACATCAAATGGCTCTTCTTTGTTCTCCCCAGAAACTGAATTTTTTTTTTGAGATAGAGTCTCGCTCTGTCACCAGACTGAAGTGCAGTGGCGTGATCTCAGCTCACTGCAACCTCTGCCTCCAAGGTTCAAACAATTTTCCTGCCTCAGGCTCCTGAGTAGCTGAGACTACAGGTGCACACCACCACACCCAGCTAAGTTTTGTATTTTTAGTAGAGACAGGGTTTCAACATAAAGCTGAAAAATTCTTTAGATCATTCTCATAATGGAATTGCAGAGTCAGCAATTCATTTGCAAAGAATTATGTAAGCAAAATTTGAACTACCAATAGAAGTGACTGGAAAAATCAAATCCCTTTGTTAATGTCTTTAATCATCAAGCCAATTGTATCCTTCACGCTCCATCATTGCATTACAGTTTCTTTTCTGATGTAATGTTAAACAGTATCTATCCTCAAATGTACAGAAGTTGACAGGAAAGCTAATGTTCAGCTAGAAAACTCAAGAATGTTCTAAAAGCTCGTTCTCAGTGAGACTCAGCCGTGTTTAGTCCTTTGTAGGTCCTTAAAGTATTCTAGAAACACCTGCGGTTTTTGAAGTGAACTGCCCACCCATAACCAGCATTTGTTAAATTTTTTCTTTTTAAAGCATAATACTTTTACATTAGCCTTGCATCTTGGAGAGAAAAACAATCAAACCAGTTAATGAAAGAAGGGGTCTATTTACAGGCCAAACTTTGAAATATAAATTCCTACTGCTTATAGTCTGACTCATAAAAACTTTGGGAGAAGCGGCAAGGCTAAAGGGAAAGGGGAATTTCTAAGAGACTAAAAGACAAGGATTCTTAGGTCTGGGGGAAATTTCAACATTAAAAAGACAGGAAAGGAAAAAAACCATGAAAACACAGTGATTGCTAGACACTAAAAGTAGGATATGGCAATCAAGCAAAATGATTAAATTTGTGCAAAAATATTGTGTGTGCTGTCAATAGTATCTACCGTCACTGACACAGGCCAAGCATCACCAAACTTGGTAGAGCATAGAGCTGGTAACATTCATTGAATAAAAGCTCCAACAGCGAGAGTGTCTTCAAGTATACCCAAAGTGAAGAATGGTTGGAGTCAGCTAGGAAGGTTGGGGACTCTCCTTCAGGAGGGAGTCTGTGAATGAAGAAAGGTAGGCACTCATCTAGAAATGCTTCACTGTCGTCTTATACTGAGGCATAAATGAACTCCACCAGAGGCCCTGAGATCCAAGATGTCTGATTTTATCATGATTTTTCTGTATCCTGGCCATACACTAATTATTCATAAGCCCATAAAGAGATGAAAATAATTAGAAAGAAAGAAAAAGCATAACCAGACTGTATTACCTGAAATGGTCTCCCAGTATTTGGTAAGTCAGCAGAGGCAATATTTAGAACAGAACCACAACCACCAAATCGTTCATTCTGACATCCATATACAACCAGTGGGATTTATAAGACAGAATTAAGGTCCTGCACAGAATGTACAGTTTAAGTATATGTCATGACAAAATCAGAGTAGGTTTCTACTAGCCATCCGGGAGAGGAAAGCTCATGCTACTCTTCAAAACAATGAAGCTGAAGCTTAGGATTAGTCTTACAAACCATACAATCCACTTACACAGAAGAAAAGGGGTTCAAAGTATTGAGAAACTGACATTTAACAACTGCAAACAGAATGAAAACTGAGTATGTGGTTGTTTAATGTTCACAGTTAAAGGCTCTCTCTGCTCTTTCCTAAATCACTTTTTCAGAATCATTAGGGAGTCAGAGCCAGAAAGGATGAAGAAATTTAATCCAGGGATTTTCACCTTTTAAAAATAACATATTCTTCCCTGTTCTTGCCCCAAATAAAATATAACCTGTGCCCTAACACAAAACAAACTAAAGCGCAGCCATTGAGGAGAGAATTCTGAGTTTACTCATAACAACCTTTTATAGAGACTGTACATTTTATCAAACCCAAAACCTCTGTATTATTTTTAAAGTCATAAAATTATTCATCTGTGCGTAGTAAAATAAGTACATAAAAAATAAGCAACCAAAAAGCTGTTTTCCAATTTTCAAATAATTTTTAAAAAGATCTGTAGAAGTCCTTACAGAGTCTCTACACTCAGTATTTACGGTGCTTACTCCATGCAAGACAATCGAAAGAGCTGTAACTTTACTCACTTCTATTTACAGTTAGAATACCTAAAGGATTTTTTATGTCTTATTTAGTTTTTACTTATGATGTTTGATACATTGTAATAGGCATCCACGGCAAACAAACCAACAGATAAACAGAGAAAGAAAAAATTTTAAGTCACCCATAATCCATTATCCAAAGGCAAAGCTTAGCTGCATATTCTTTAGGACAGTTCCTTTGCAAACTGTTTTATAATCCACTTCAACTTATTATGATTTATCTTTACATAACTGTTTAAGAGAGTTTTAATATTTTCTTTCTCTAGACTGTTTAATCATTCTGTTTATTGATATGAAAAGAAACAGGTCATTTTACTATTTAAACAGCTTTCCTATTTTTGGCGAAGAGACACTATATTTTACAAGGTGTTTCCTAAGTCTGTGTTTTCATGTTTTGGAAAACAGGCTAGTGTTTGGCCACTCTCTTGTTCACATAAATGGTAAAAGACATTAACTCATGAAGTCAAAGGATACTCATCAGGCGGAGAGCAGCTGCACACATAATGCATGGCTCCACAGTGACGTACAACACAGTGTGTTCAAACACTTCAGACGAATTCTTGCCACTTCGACCACACCAATCGAGGACCTGATCGATGGCCACCATTTCTGCATGTCGAGTAGCCTGAAAAGAGCAAGGGGCTTGCACTGATGTTGTTTGCTTCATGTAGCTACTATTTTACAAATACACAAAAAGTAAGTACAAAATATGTGCCTATCCTTTCTGCCAATACTTTAATGAATACAGTTCCAAGACACCCTCAGCAGTTGACAATGTATTCTCCAGTTCAAGTATCACAACCTCACTAGCAAATGGTACATAATCAGAGATGCCATATGAATCATACTGTATTTTTAGATAAGTACCTAAATACCTTAGGGGAAACTCTTTCAGTTAAAATGCCATAGAGAAGGTAAGTCTGAAAAACAAACCAACAAAAAAAAGATAAAGTCTATGGTTTCTGAATATTTTAGGGGAAGCAAAATTTTCATAAACTTGTGCTCTAGTTTCAAATATATTTTCAAGGTTTTCACTGACGTTGCTCCAAGCAAATCTACATTAAGTTTAATGGGATGTCATCTCTAACACTTTTTGGAGAATGAGGTTTTGTATACTGAAGACTCTAGAGAAGTAGAGATTTAGTATTGGCTTCAGACACTTCATGGGAAGCAGTGGAGAATAGAAGAAATCACATAGCATGTGAAATTGACTATATTTAAATTTGAATCTTGACAGTGACATTACTAATTATATGGACTTAGGCAAGTTACTTAACTTCTGTTAAGTCTTGGATTCCCCACACGTAAAATGGTATACAGTGGCATCTACACTTATACACCTTATAAATCTGAATTACATGAAGCATGGTGCCACATAATACTATATATGTACTCTGCTAGCTCTTGTCTCCTTTCTCCCTTACTAAATAGCTTAAAGTGAATCATAGATTCTATATGGAAAAATTATTTATAATATTCATGACAATAGCATTTATCGGTAATTTACACTCAGTGCTAACTATGTATAAGCTACTGGGCTAAATAAATTCTGTGTAGGATAAAAAGTTTCTGTCCTCAACAAGCATAAAATCTGGTGGGGCTCATTTACCTGTGAGATAGGGCAGGGTAAGAAAAGTGCTGCCACCGTGGCCCAAGATGCCACGGAAGCTACAGGCAGATGGGAGCAAAGCCGGCCAAGAGGCTACATGGGTGAATCACAGAATTAATTACCAGAGATAGAAGGTACTTTAGAGAAGAGGTCCCAAACCTGGCTGCACATCAAAACTAAATGGAGAGTTTTGTTTTTTTTTTTTTAAAGGTTTCCCCAACTTGGGTGCTTTCAAAAAATCAGATTTAGAATTATGGAACCAAATCTCCCTGTAGCTCTCAATAAACAACTGCTGAACTCAATCATCTCAGTCAACTCCCTCTTTTACTACTAAAGAAAATGAAGCTAAGCAGAGCTGGCACGTGTTAATCACACACAGCTGGGAGAGGAGGTGGTGGTGGTGACTGGGTGGTGGTGGTATCAGAGCCAAAAGTAGAACTCAGGTGTCCTCATTTGGGGTCAAGTGTCTCTCTATGCTGTAGTTATAATCTTCTATATGACACAGACTAACAAAATAAACCCAGGTTAATTTCAGCATATAGAAGAAATCTAGGTCACTGGATGGGGTTAGACAGATATTGTTAGGATAGTCAAAGTTCTCATCTTAAAGATGTCATACACAAAATGCAAATTAGAAAATATGACCATGATTTAAAATACAGAATTCTACTCCTACATTCATTAACGCATCCATTAATTGCTGTATTATGTTTATTACTTATCTCATGTTTTAATATCCTCTTAATAATTGTTTTGTCTTCAACATGAATATAATTAAAACATTTTTTAAAATTATTCAAAACATTTTTTCCAAAAAAAATTTGCATGTTTTATAGTATTTTATATTGATATTTAAACTTATGTCATTTTTCAACAAACATCAGCTAATTGTTACAGAGATATGTGAATATGCTTCTGTTTTTTCTAACTGAAATGGTAATGGCTAAATATAAAAATGTTAATTCTGCATGGGAATGACTATTCTGAGTTAAATAATACTTCTCAATGTTAAGATAATGATAATTATTTTAACACTGCTTGAAATTATTGTACATGTGAGTTAAAATTAAAAGACTATATATATTCATATATTGTTACATAACAAACTTTAAAATGTGATTTATACCAAAAGAAATTGTCTGGAAGAATATGCAAAATTTTAATAGCCCTGCACAGAGAAATGAGAATAGAACTGCTTCTACTTTCTGTATTTGAATTTTTTTTTTTTTTTTTTGAGATGCAATTTCACTCTTGTTGCCCAGGCTGGAGTGCAATGGCCCGATCTTGGCTCACTGCAACCTCAGCTCACCACAACCTCAGCCTCCCAGGTTCAAGTGATTCTCCTGCCACAGCCTTCTCTGTAGCTGGGATTACAGGCATGCGCCACCATGCCCAGCTAATTTTGTACTTTTAGTAGAGAAGGGATTTCTCCATGTTAGTCAGGCTGATCTTAAACTTTCCACCTCAGGTGATCCATCCACCTCAGCCTCCCAAAGTGCTGGGATTACAGGCGTGAGCCACTGCAACTGGCTTATCTTTGAAATTTTAAAAAGGTATTTCAAAATGAGCCTTTAAACAACAAAGAAGGCCCTGACAGTGGCTGAGCTCCCCCAGCAGATGTTTGATGCCAAGAACATGATGGCTGCCTCTGCCCCTCAATATGGCCTCTACCTAGCAGAGGCGGCCATTTTCAGGGGCAGCGTGTCCATGAGGGAGGTAGAGGAGCAGATGCTTAATGTTCAAACCAAGAACAGCAGCTACTTTGCTGACTAGATCCTCTACAATGTGAAAACGGCTTTCTGGGACATCCCACCCCTGGGGCTAAAAATGTTCACCACCTTCATCAGTAACAACATGGCCATCCAGGAGCTGTTCAGGCACATCTCAGAGCAGTTCACAGCCATGTTTGGGCGCAAGGCTTTCCTGCATTGGTACACGAGGGAGGGCAGGGATGAGATGGAGTTCATTGAGGCCGAGAACAACATGAACGACCTGGTATCTGAGTACCAACAGTACCAGGATGCCATTGCTGAGGAGGACAAGTTTGAAGACTGGGATGAGGAGAAGGGGTCTGGAGCTTTCTGTTAGTGGGTGAAGGGTTGGGGTAGTATGAAGTCTTCATTTACCTACAACGTGTTTTGTGAAAGCCACGTCTGTGTGTGCACTTGCTGTTCTTCTTGCTGCATGTTCACCTCTATTAAAGCATTTCCAGGGCCAGGCAAGGTGGCTGTTGCCTATAATCCCAGCACTTTGGGAGGCCGAGGTGGGCAGATCATAAGGGCAGGAGATCGAGACATCCTGCTCAACATGGTGAAACCCTGTCTGCATTAAAACTACAAAAATTAGCCGAGCATGGTAGCATGGGCCTGTAGTCCCAGCTGCTCCGAAGGCTGAGGCAGGAGAATTGCTTGAACCTAGGATGCAGAGGTTGCAATGAGCCGAGATTGTGCCATGCAGTCCAGCTTGGAGACAGAGCAAGACTCCGTCTCAAAAGAAAAACCTTTCCACAGTTAAAAAAAAGTATGACATGCTTATATTCATACTTCTCACTTACCACAGGGTAAATTTAAAACTTATTCATTAAAAAGTTGTCTTTTTCAAGAATTCCAAGGACAAAGAATTTTGTGAAATACTCTATTTTTATTTAAGTGAGTTTTTTCTAATTCCACACTTCAATTTACTATTTTTCATAAGCAAATTGATACCCAAGTTTTTTAGGAGGCTGACATATTAACTACAGATTTCCTATGCAGTGAACATGCTTATGTATAAATCTGCATTGTCCAACTACTTTGTTGGGACAGTTCCCATGGATTGGAACTGCTCGGGCAAAGTATATGCAAAATCTACATTTTGAGTAAATTTCCTATAATCAAAGCAAGCTTTCCCAGTGTTTGAATGTTTCCCATTTCCTAAAACTGTTCAAACATTAGACATCAGTATTTTTAATCACTGATAATGTAATGTTACAAAGAAATTGCTTTTTCCTTCTGTGAATGTTAAGCCGGATACTCTTTGAATAGCTTATTGGTTATTTATTTCATTTTCCTCTGTTCCTTTTATTTTCCCTTCCCTTGTAATATTAATCTCTTTGTTACTGATTTCTAAGAGCTCATTTCGGATTAAGATGTTAACATTTTGTCAAGCATTGAAAATGAAATGCCATGTTTATTCCTTTTTATTTCATTGTGGTGTTTTAATTTTTGGTTCTACGGAAGTTATGTATTAAAATATGATCCTGTTCTATGGCCAAAAACAAACAAACAAATCAATCAATCAATCCTTTGTGAATCTGAATTCCTACTTTACATGTGTTTTGCTAAATGTCAGTTTTCTTTTCAATAGATGCGATTGATAGATGAACTTTAAAGTACCCACAGCACTGGTATCAATACCAGCTTATTCTCTGGCTCCCTAGATCACATGTCAAGATCAAAGTCTGTGTGAATGACATTACAGGTATAAGTGATCTTTGGGTCCACCTAGGAATTTTTGTAGTCATAAAATTTGGCAGTTTACTTATATTTCCCAAATATACTTCCCATGACACACTGTTATGATACCACGTTTAAGAAGCACGGCCTTGAACCCTGAACCAACCTAACCACCATAAAAGTCATACAAGCTATTAAAATGTACACACTACATGTAGCTACAGAGGCAGCTTGTGTTGAAGACCCTATTTTGTTGAATTATCTGTTACAGAAATAGCTTCCTTTATATAATCCTCACACCTCCCTCCAAAGCTATAAATTGAGGTGATTTTTTTAATTTATAAGAATGAAAAAATTATTTAAAGGTATAAAAAAGAAATGTATTATGAATTAAATTGACCTATTTTATACAGTGAAAATTTCATAGATTAGATTGGCTTAAAGTAGAGATAGACTTGTTTCTTCCAGTGCTGACGTTCGGATCTAATAAAATCCCCTCGGGTTTCACTGAAGCATTAGGGTAAAACTCTATGAAACAGAAAATTATTCACTAAGATTTTATGTCTTCATTAAATTGTTCTGAATTTTCCACAGTAAAAAAAAGTCAACACATATCACTTTTAAAATCAGGAAGAAAATGGTATTCAAAAAGAGAGGTGTTAAGAAAAGCTACCCACCACCGGCAGCTATGGGAATACAGTCGATCTCATCCTCATTCCAACTGCGGTAAATTCCCTCCAGTCCACCCATCACTACTGTATGTTTGCAATTACACTGCTCAACTCACATACATTTTTGGTTTGGTTAACTTCATTTCTTCCCTTCCCCACGACTTCATTGTTGTAGACCATAAGGCAGCCAACAGGAACTTCAGTATTTTCGAGGGCTTCCTTGGCCTGAAACATAAAGTGGAAAATGTAAGATGTAATACTCCATACTTGAAAAGAGTATGGGAAAGAAAGATGCAGCACGAACAGGATACATATGTCTAAAGACTAAAACAAAGAAGTGCAGCCTTCCCTTTTCTGGAATGTAGTTTGATTATGGCATTTAGTGCCTGTGTTCTGTGTTGTGTCCATGTTAAGGGAGACTCAAGAACAAATCCCGTTCCTAGGTCCAGAGCTCCTGATTTCTTCTTACTGGAAATAGATGTGATCAAGGAAGGCTGTTACTGACCACTGTTCTTAAAGTGCCAGGGTCTATGTGCCTTTTCAGAGATAGAAAATGTATTTGCAAAAAGGTAGGGGAATAAATAACACTTATAAATCCTTTATTAGAATTCTTTCCTTATTCAAATTCCTTTGCTTCTCTAAAAATTATAAAAATTATCCTCTGGAGTCCCAATAGCTAATGGTAACCAGACTGGATGTCACCCTGTCCCACAACTTCTACTCTATGTGAGACAATAAGAGTTTAGAAGTAATCTATGTAAAATGGCACAATCATTATGAGAAACATTTTGGAAATTTCTTTAAAAAGTAAAGACATACACAGTCTATAACTAAATTCCCTTCCTAAGTACTTAAAAGAAGGTAATATGGATCTAAAAAAAAGCTTAAAAAAAGAACCAAAACCTTGAAAAAGAACGTTAATAGCCAAAACCTGAAATGGCACACGTGTCTATCAACAAGACAATGGATAAACAAACTGTCTCCTATTAATGTAATGGAACAGTAGTTGGCAATAAAAAGGAACTACTGACACTGCCACACATGGATGAGTCTCATAGATATGCTAAGTAGAAGTCACACATAAAAGCACACATACTATATGATTCCTTTCGCACAAAGTACTAGAATAGATAAAACTAAATTACAATGACAAACTGGAACAGTGGTTGCTTCATGGAGGGTTATGTACAGATTGACTGGAGAAGGACTCAAAAAATTTTCTGAGGTGGTGAAAACTTTCTGGTTCTTGATAAAGACATGGATTTCAGAGATGTCTGCATTATTCAAAATCAATTGAAGGATACATTTACAACTTGTGCATCTCACTGTATATATAGTATACCTCAACTGAAAAAAATCAGTGAGAGAAAAAAGTTTAGGAACATTTCCATGACTACCATCCCAGGAATGGCAAACCAATTATTATATTCTCAAAGTTCCCTTTATCACAGGCAATTCATTTTTCTTCTTGCTCCATTATGGCAGTTCTGGGCCCTAGGAAAATTAAAGAACTCTACCTTCGGGCAGAGAGCTTAAGCAAGCAGGTTATGCCTCCATACAACCTGTTACTGCCTCTGAGAAGCAGAATAAGGGAAGAGGATAATCTTCGGACTAGTGTACAGTTGTTTTCAATGCAGTCAAAAGAATGTAACTGCTGTACAGCTGTTTCTAGAAAGGCAAGGTATTCCTTACTGTGGCAGCCCTGAAGACACTTTGGAAGTCTTGATTCTCATTTAAGTGCAGGTACTTATACACATCATAGGGCAAATAAAGTACAAAGTTGAAGGCATTGTTAAAAACAATGTCTTCCGTCTCCTGCACTAGTCTCTTACTCCCAGTTCTACTTTATTTAACTAGCGACAACTTCCTATCATAATGCATACAGGATTTCCTTAGTTACTCCAACCATGCTCGACTGACACTTAGTTTTCATTTGGCCATTACAAAAGAAAGAAGAAGCCCATGGCAGGAGCAAACTGGACCTCACTTTTCTCCATCTGATTGTTGGGTCAGACAAGGGGGTGTAGAGAGATGTGAGGAGACAGTATCTGATGCAATAAGACTGCATTCTTCAGGACTCCTTCATGAACCATCCTCAGGCTGGCTGTGTCCCAGCTCGGTGATGGTGGTGAAAGCATGTCCAGTTTATTAAGTTCAAAAGCCTTGAAGAGTCTCGAGGTTTGTTTACTATAGACAAATGCACCAGAGGCTACAATAGAGAGGAAAGCCAGGAGAAAGACAGGCAGTTAGGGAGGATGGAGATGCTAACTACCAGGGTAGCTCCAGAAATTCTTATACTAAGAATATTATTTAAAATAAGTGTAGAATTACACAGAGATCCAGGTACACAGAAGAGACAAATCATTTATTCATGTGAAAAACCTTTGTTGAGGATCTTCAGATGGAGAGATTATCCCAAATTATCTTGGTTGGCCCTAAACATAATCACAAATGTCCTCCTAACACAGATATCTAACACAGAACATCACAGAAGAGGCGAAGTGATGATAGAAAGAGAAAGACATTTGAAGATGCTGTACTGCTAGCTTTGAAGACGGAGCAATGGGTCATAAATGTCACTTCAGAACCTGGAAAAGGCAGGATTCCAGAAAAAATTTGGCCTTGCCAAAACCTTGATTGGAGCTCACTAAAATTTCAGACTTCTGGCCTCCAGAACTATAAAAGAATAAACTTGTATTGTTTTTAGCCACCATATTTGTGATAATTTGTTAGAGCAGCCATAGGAAACTAATATATCCAGCAAAGAGAAAGAAAAAACAAGCTAAAACTGGAAAAAAATACTTAAAAACCACATATTTGGCAATCGTCTAGTATCCAGACTATATAAAGGACTCTTAAAACTCAACAGTAAAATGATAATGCCATTAGAAAAAGTGTCTTCATCCATTTGTGCTGTGATAAAGGAATACCTGAGGCTGGGTAATTTATAAGGAAAAGAAGTTGATTTGGCTCACAGTTCTGCAGACTGTACAAGAAGCATGGTATCAACATCTGCAGTGAGGGCTCAGGAAGCTTCCACTCTTGGCAGAAGGCAAAGGGGAGCACGCATGACATGTTAAAAGAAGAAAGGATGGTATATTCTCATGATAATAATATAACAAGAACTTGTTACCACAAGGATGATTTATGAGGCATCCTCCCCACGATCCAAACCTCCCACCAGGCCCTGCTACTAACACCAGGGATCAAATTTCAACATGAGATTTGGAAGCAACAAATATCTGAACTATGTGAGAAGCCAAAAGACAGACGTAACACCAAAGAAGATAACACAGATAGCAAGTAAGTACACGAAAAGATGTTTTCACATCATCAGCTGGTAGAGAAATGCAAACTAAAACAACAATGTAATATCACTACACACCCATCAGCATGACTAAAGTGAAATGTAAAAGCAACAGCAAATGCTGGCAAGGCTGTGGAGAAATGATGTAACTCACACGCTGCTGGTGGGAATATAAAATGGTACAGCCACATGGGAAAATAGTTTGGCACTTTCTTAAAAAGCTAAATGTGCACTTAACATATGACCTAACAATTCCATTCTTGGGCATTTATCCCAGAGAAATGAAAACCTATGTTCACACAATATATATTTATGTGCACAAATGTTCATAATAACTTTATTCACAATAGCCAAAAACTGGAAACAACACAAACACCCTTCAGTGGGTGAACTGCTAAACAAACTGTGGTATAACTGTACCATGGGATGCAATGCAGCAATAACGAGGAATGAACTATCGATAATCTCAACAACTTGGATGAATCTCATGAGAATCATGCTGAATGGGGAAAGCCAAGCCAAATGTTTACATATTCATGTATATAACATTTTTTAATTATAAAACTATAGAAATAGAGAACAGATTAGAAGCTGCAGCTAAAAAGAGGTAGGGAGTCATGTGGTCATGGAACAGTTCCAGTGGTGGTTATACAAAGTTAAAGATGACAAAACTGCATAGGAACACACACACACACACACACACGCACATGTTCAAATAAAACTGATGACATCTTAATAAGCTCTGCAGAATATCCCAATGCAGTTTTCCTGGTTTTGCTACTGAACTATAGCTATGCAATATGTTACCACCAGGAACACTAGATACTTGGGCCCTCCCAGTATATTATTAGTGTAATTTCTCGTGAATTTATAATTATTTCAAAATGAAAGTTAAAAAATAAATAAGTACAGGTAAACAAAAAGGATTTCACAATGGAGATTACGAAGAGATGTTTAATGAGGCAAGAGGAAAACCAGAAATATTTGGTGTTATGGAAGACCCTAGAAAAAAAAGTAGGCTAAGAAGGAAGGGTGGTCAAGTGTGTCTAAGTCAGCAAAGCAGCGGCAATTTAGGTGGAAAGGTGGAAATGAAAACCAGTAGCTTGAGCAGTGACTTATCTAAGAGGTTAAATTTTTAATTCCAGATATACTTTCCCCAACAAACCTCTTAAAAGGTAATGTGTAGCCTACCTTCGGGTATTCTGGTCTGGACAGCTTGCAAATAAGAGCTTACAATTTACTGAAAGCTTAGTTTGATCCAGGACTGTTGTAAGCATTTTGTAAGTATTAATTCATTTCATCTACAAGCCTATAACGATCTTCCCCATTTTACAGATGAGGAAACTGTGGCATAGGGAGACTTTTTTTTTTTTTAAATATATGTAACTAGCACATGTGAGACAGTTGGAATGAGGGCACAGACAAACTGGCTCCACTTACTCAATTGTTCCACAAACATTTGTGGAGCACCTACCAGGGACCAGATTCCAGAGCTCTCTGCCACTGTTTTGCCTCTAATTTCTGCTTTAATAACCACAAACATTTCACTGATTGGTTGCTTTATCAGGGTTTGAGTTCAGAGTGAATCAAGGGACCAAATGAGAGAGAAGAGTTAGCAAGAGAGTGAGACATGGAAATTTTAAGGATAAAAAAATGGCAAGAGTAGTTCAAGGCTGCAGTGAGCTATGATCATGCCACTACACTCCAGCCTGGGTAACATAGCAAGACCCCATCTCTAAAAAAAAGTGAAAAAGAGGCTGGGTGCAGTGGCTCATGCCTGCAATCCCAGCACTTTAGGAGGCCAAGCCAGGTGGATCATCTGAGGTCAGGGGTTTGAGACCAGCCTGACCAACACTGTGAAACCCCGTCTCTACTAAAAATACAAAAACTAGCCAGGCATGGTGGTGGGTGCCTGTAATCCCAGCTACTTGGGAGAGTGAGGCATGAGAATCACTGGAACCCAGGAGGCAGAGGTTGCAGTAAGCCAAGATAGTGCCATTCCGCTTCAGCCTGGGCAACAAAGTGAGACTGTCTCAAAAAAATAAAAATAAAAAACAAAAAACTGCAAGAGAATAAACAAGTGGAGGCCATGTGATCAGGATTTTCTGTAAAAATATCTCCTGAAGAACTCTACATATGGCTATGTGGGCCATTTCAAACATGGAGAAGAGAATACAGGGCCGAGTGAAAAGGAGGTGGGAGGGATGGGAGATGAAGTCCCATGTAGCCTACAAGTTCTGTCTTGTTCACTGGAAGACAGCATCCAAGCCACCACGTTACTGGGCTTGTGCCTTCCATTCCTTCCTTAGGATTTTTCTTTTTTTCCTTCTAGCAAATTTATTTCATTTTACTCCTCTCAATATTATGTTCATATTAATTTTGAGTAACACTTTTTTTCCCCTGAAATGCCTTCCCTTGCTGTCTGAAACAGAGAGCAAATACGAGTGACTGGAGTATTTTAAAAGGACAAACAATGTCACTGATGAAGAATGGCTGAGCCTACCATGCTGAGGGCGGGTGGGTAAGCAACTGGAATGGTAGGCAAGGGAGGGGATTGTGAGAATAACATAAAGCCCCATAGAAGCGACTTGAGGGGAACTTCTTGTCAATAATTAATACACAGATTTGCTTTACTAACAAGTTCAAAATAGATTTAATTAAGCTGAAAATCAATTTCACACCATACCTATATCATACTTTCAAACACTCCCACCAACTCTACTGTCAAGTCTGATCACTTTATCACAAACGCAACAAAGCCCAGGCAAAATGGGTCTGAAATTTGTGTAGGTAGCTTTGAATTTAATCTATCTTACCTTTTTGGGGAGAAAGAAAGACCAAGGTCAGATACTATTTAAAAATAGCAACTAGGTCTTATGTAAAGTAACAAATGATCAACCTTTAAAATTAAAGAACAAAACCTCTCTTCTTCCCAGCCTAAACACTGGTCTCTGTTTTGACTTTAAATGTACTTTCTTTTTTTTCTCTAGTCAGGGCCTGCCCAGTTACAATGAAAGCTCCTAGATGAAAGAGATTTTGTAGTTTATTATTTTCTCCAAAGGCATTACTACTATAACCTGCTGTCTACTGATGTCATGATAAAAGGGGAAGGAAGGAGACAGACTTTATTTGCACAGACTCTTATGCGTCCTTAAAGAAATATTTCCTATAAATACAAAAAATTAGGGGGAACAAACAAGTTAGCCAAAACAACTCTCAGGTAGAACATCGTTGTGTCCAAAAGGTTAAACTATGTAACTGTTCCTGCCAATTACTCTCTTCTTAGTAATTACTCTTTGAGTAATTAGCAGGAACAGTTATATAGTTAAACTTTTGGGGTTTAAAAAGTGATGATGTGTTCATTCCATCAACTTTAAACTCTTTAATATAGCACTGAAGGTCTTCCAACTACCACCCGTCCTCCCATTGGCCAGCCGAACTAACCTAACTTTTCATTATTTGTTTAGGTTTTTAACCTTTTCAGAGCCAAAATCCCCTTTTAGAATCTGATGAAAGTTATGGACTGTCTCACTTGAAAAAGGCACATGCACACATGCACATAATATATTATATATAGTTTCAGGGTTCACAGATCCCCCAAAACCTGAGCCCAAGGTTAGGAAGCCCTGTTCTACACAGAGAGCTAGTCTCTTAACCTAAAACAAAGTTCTTGATTTCTTTGTACATGATAATATCTTTGCTTTTGATCAACCTTTCCTTTCCCCCAGCCCATATCCATTTGGTCCCTTAAAATTCAGATGGAATTCTATCCTTTATCTCAACTGACGTGCTGAAGGACCTTGCCAGCTGTTATCGGATAGCACTTTATATGTGTCTCTTGTGGTCTGTGGACACGTGTTACTTACCAACCTTTTCATCTGTGCATGACTTAATTTCATCAGTTAAACTGCATGTTCCTCGAAGGCAAGCACTAGATCCAGGCACGGTTAAGCTTCTCTTGCTCACCTCTGCAGCCTATGCACACAGCACAAGGTCTACATAGCAAAAACGTAATCATACCACATTTGTTGAATGGTGTCTGTGGTGTTTGCTTTCTTTTTGAATTTCCCTCAGAGCCTAGTATAATGTTATACTAATATACCAATAGCCCCAAAAATGCATACTACAAAAAAAATGATTTTTTTTCTAGAAAACTTGCAACATTTTTTTCTATACATGTATATACAGTCAATTTTTCTTTTTTCCTAATTATAAAGTAAGATATGTTCAAGGTAGAGAACTTAGGGATAAAAAATCTCATGTATCAAAAAACAAAACCACTAAGAATCCTGATACCCCCAAACCATAATCCCTGTTATTCTCAGGCAACAGAGGTTTTTTCCTATGCCCTACACACACACATTTATAGTTTTCAAAAAGTGAAATGGATTTACACTATATACATAGTTCAGCATTCTGTCTTTTTTTTTTCATTTAGAAACGTATTATTAACCTTTCACTAGGAAGAGTAATGTTTTTTCATCACATGATTTTGTAAAGGTTGTACACTATTTCTCCTTATAACATACTTGATTCAACCAACTAGTCTCCTATTGTTTGACATTTACAGTGATTCAAATTCTTCACTATTATAAACAAGTGAATAACTTCTCTATATAAATATTTCTATTGCTTCCTTGTGAATTATTCCTACAAACAGCTGTAAAATACAAACAGCTCCTACAGTGTGATTTTTAAAATCAAACTATTAGTAAAATTGGGCAAAGTATATGCCTAGGCAATTCACAGAAGAAAAAAATCTAAAGGTCCAATTAAATGACATAGTAGATACACAGTATTCAGGGTAAAGAAACTGAAAAGAAGAAGAGGACACATTAGCAAGCAGTGAGCAACCTAACACTGAGAGGCAGGCTAGACCAGTGGTTAAGAGCAATGGCAGGGCTCAAGTCACAGCCCCATCCTTACCAGCTCTCTAACTCTGGGGAAGTTACCGAACTTCCTCAGCTTCAATATCCCCATCTGAAAATGAGGACCATAAAAATACCCACCTCATAGGGATCCTGTGGGGCTTATGACATGGCCCACATGAAACACTTTGCATAAAATAGTATCTGGAACACACCAAGCGTGCAACACTATTCCTTAGTCATCCTTTTTTTCCCCAGCCTATATCTTTAGAATGCTATGCTGAACGTGTATGATGATTAAAACAATAACCTATTATGATGCTGTGCTTAGCTCTCAGAAAGAAATCTGCCATGAAAAATAATAGTTTTATTAAAAAATAGTAAAGTGGGCTGGGCATGGTGCCTCACACCTGTAATCCCAGCACTTTGGGAGGCCGAGGCAGGCGGATCACAAGGTCAGGAATTCAAGACCAGCCTGCCCAACATGGTGAAACCCCTTATCTACTAAAAATACAAAAATTAGCTGGGCACAGTGGCATGTGCCTGTAATCTCAACTACTTGGGAGGCTGAGGCAGGAGAATTGCTTGAACTAGGACCTGAGAGGCAGAGGTTGCAGTGAGCCCAATCACACCACTGAACTCAAGCCTGGGCTACAGAGTGAGACTCCAATTAAAAAAAAAAAAAAAAATGTAAAGTTGATAACCTTATTTAAAGTTTGGTAACTTTATCAAAGAACAGTAAAAAACAGTAAGAATGTTACTTACTTCTTGTATCTATCACATGGCCAAATACTAAAGAGTGATCATTCCAGGGTTGGTAGGCCCAGGAGTGGGAGAGAACACTTTTATACACCAGTGATGGAATTGTGACCATTTCAGATGCTATCCAACAGATCGTTTTTTTGGAGTGCTGGAAATGTCCTTTGATCTGTACTGTCCAATACGGTAGCCAGTGGTCATATGTGACTGCTGACTACCTGAAATGTGGCTAATACAACTGAGGATTTTATTTTATTTCACCTTAATTAATTTTTTTTTTTTTTTTTTGAGACGGAGTTTCGCTCTTGTTACCCAGGCTGGAATGCAACGGTGAGATCTCCACTCACCGCAACCTCAGCCTCCTGGGTTCAGGCAATTCTTCTGCCTCAGCCTCCTGAGTAGCTGGGATTACTGGGATTACGCGCCACCATGCCCAGCTAATTTTTTGTATTTTTAGTAGAGACGGGGTTTCACCATGTTGACCAGGATGGTCTCGATCTTTTGACCTTGTGATCCACCCGCCTGCCTCAGCCTCCCAAAGTGCTGGGATTACAGGCGTGAGCCACTGCGCCCGGCCTCACCTTAATTAATTTAAACTTAATCCGCTACATGTGGTTAGTGGCTACCCTATTGGGTATCTCGGTTCTAGAAGGCAATACAGGAACATCTATATAATTTCAAAGTACACACATCCTTTGTCCCAATTTAGGTAGTCACTCCACAGCAACAGAAATACCATGAGGTAGGGAGGAGTGAATAATATATTAAGACTACCCAAAAACAAGTGCTGATAATCAGAAAGAGAATCTATAATTCCATTTATGCAAAGATATATATGGCTGTTTACATATGGACAGAGAGATATGGAGGGATGCTCCCAAAATCCTAAGAGTATTATCGCTAATGGTAGCACTTTTAGGTAATTTTTACATAATTTGTTAAATCTTTTACAGTTTGAATTTCTTATGACCATGAATTATTTACATAATCAGAAAAAGGAAACATTAAAATATTTTCACTTTGGAAATTAAAAAAAAAAGGCATTGTTGGATCAAAGGATAAGCTCACCTTTAAGGCCTTTGATATCTACCTAGCCAAATTGTCCTAATGAAAGGGCGCCCTAAATTCAGCTCCTCCCAACCAATGGAATCTTCAAACATGACACCCTTATGCCCTTATTATCACCAAGCATTAAAATTGCTTTCACTTTTGCCAATTTAACGGTTGAAAAACTGGATATCATTTTAATTTGAATTGCATTCATTTGCTGGCTACTTGTCACTTCCTTTAGAAATACCATGTTCAGATGAGGTGTGGTGACTCACACCTGTAATCCCAGCACTTTGGGAGGCTGAGGTGGGATGACTGCCTGAGCCCAGGAGTTCAATACCAGCTTGGACAACACAGAGAAACCCTGTCTCAAGAAAAAAAAAATTTTTTTAATAAAAAGAAATTTTAAAAAGAAATATCATATTCATATCCTTTGACCTCTCCCATATTAGGGTGCACATCTTTCCTTTTATTTCAGAAAGTACTTATATTTTATATAAATCATGTATTATATAAATATATAAACTATATGTTAAGGTTATTAAACCTGTCCTTTTATATATGTTGCAAATTTTTTCCTTCTTTGTCATCTCCTTTACTTTGTATCTTTTTTTTTTTTTTTTTTTTTGAGACAGGGTCTGGCTCTGTCTCCCAGGTTGGAGTATAGTGTCACAGTCACGGCTCACTGTAGCCTCAATCTCCAGGACTCAAACAAACCTCCTGCCTCAGCCTCCTGAGTAGCTGGGACTACAGGCAGGTGCCACCATGCCCTACTAATTTTTAAATTTTTATTTAGTAGAGACAGAGTTTTATTATATTGCCCAGGCTGTTCTTCAACTTTTGAAATCAAGAGATCCTCTTGCTTCTGTCTTGCAAAGTGTTGGGATTATAGGCATGAGCCACTGTGCCTGGCCATGCTACTTTGTATCTTACCTTTTTAAACATGTAGATGTTTTCTATGTAATGACAACTTATCTGTTTTTCTTTTATGTTTTCTGCTTTTGGTGGTATAAAGAATCCATCTCCATTCCAAGACTATATAAATACTAACGTTTATTTACTTCAGCTTCTCTTATGGTTTTATTGTTTTTTATTTGACTTTACTCTTAATTCTATCTTTTCAATTAGATTTTTACTATAAAAGTTTATTGACACTTTTAAAAAATCACCCATAATTTTAGCATGTTAACTATTTTTATAGGTTCTTGTCTAGTCTTCATTCACCTTGTAAAAATAACAGTTTCCATTTATTGAGCATATTATGTTACGTGCTTTACAAACATTATCTCTCAGCCTACACAACCCTCTGAGATAGAAATGATATTCTCAATTTACAAAAGAGAACACTGAGGCTAAAAAATTAAGAACTTGTTCAGCTTAGTTTGCTAGTCAGTAGCTATTTGAACATAGCTAACCTAAACCTATTATGTATAGTATAAAATAATTTATATTCTCTGCTTGTTTAATTACATGTTATAAGTAACATTATATCTAGGTCAGCACAGTGGCTCACACCTATAATCCCAGCTCTCTGAAAGGCCAGAATGGAAAGACTGCTTGAGGCCAGGAGTTCAAGACGAGCCAAGGCAACACAGTGAGTGCCTATGTTTACAACAAGCTAAAAAATTAGTCAGGCGTGGCGGCACACACCTGAAGTACTAGCTACTGGGGAGGCTGAGGTGCAAGGATTGCTTGAGCTCAGGACTTTGAGATTACAGTGAACAGTTATCACATTCCAGTCCGTGTGGTCATTTCACTTTCAAATTTCAGTACAAACTAATCAGAGATTAACTTGCTGTTTCCAGCTTTGATTATTAGTTATGCCTTTGGTCTAATTTAAATCTCTTCTCAAAAGAAGTGATATTTCTGAATAATATAAGAGTATAATCAAAGAGTATCTTTGGTTGGGGATAGCTGATGATTGAAAATAAAGCACCAGATTTATGACAAGTACTTTTTTTCCTTTAAGACCTTGAAGAAACATGTACATGCCAAAATCCAAGAAGCAGCTGCCCCCTCAATCCTGTGTTGGAGGTGGTAAACTATGGAATCAGACCCCTAAGTGTTTATAATACAATTAAGAGACATGTCAAAGCTAGAGGGGTCTAGAAATTCTTTGAAGTTCTACCAATTTATTTTATAGAGTAGAAAGCAAACCTTAGGGGGATAAACTGATTTGCCCAAGGCCACCCAAGAAGGTAACAAAAGTGTTTAGCCCAGAAATCTACATAGAGAATAGCACTGTCTACTGCCATACCACCCTCAAAGCACCCAATCTCCTCTAATCTCAGAAGAAAAGCAGGGTCAGGTCTGGTTAGTACTTGGCTGGGAGAAAAATGTTGAGGTGGGCAGATGCATGCTCCAAGATATTAGGACCAAAAGACCCTTAAAGGGAAATCAAGATCTAAAATATAAGGATGGAAAGAAAACACAATTCCAATACACAAAGTGAAAAGACTCACTCAATGACTCCCTAAACATAGTTGTTTTTGAAACCACTATGACAGCAGCTCTAAAAATGTCATCTAAGTAAAGTCTACACATAAACACCTTTACGAGAGTTCATGAACGTAGAAGGGACCATAAATTCGGACTTCCCAACATTCAGGTCTCACCTGTTCTCTAAATCTCCCATCCATCAAAGAATACAAATGCAGCTTACTTTATGATATTTTAGCCTTCATGCATCATTATTATTTTATTATCATCACTATTAAGAAACAGACTAGCACATGATATGATTGAAATGATCTAGGGGAAAAAAAGTAAAATTTTGATATCACATAAAGACTTGTCTCCAACTTGGAAAATTTAGTAACATAAAAGGAGGTCAGGGTAAATAAACCCATATTACAAATTAATCTTTAAAATGTATATGTGAACATTAATTTTCTTTTTGAGATGGGGTCTTGCTATGTTGCCCAGGCTGGTCTCAAACTTCTGGGCTCAAGCTATCCTTCAGCCTTAGCCTCCTAAGTAGCTTAGATTACAGATGTGTGTCACCATGCCCAGCAATTTCTCATGTCAGATAGAAGGTTATACATCCTTGAAGTTTAATGGAAGAAATAAATTTGCAAGTAGGCTTAAAGAATGGGCCATGATGTCCTGTTAGTGAGTCATGACCATCATTTTAAAATAATGTAGTAAAACAGAAATACCAGAGGATCATATATAAGAAGGGTAAGAACTCTTCTGTGAAACTTTTATTTAAGTCATACACATATGTGCATTTCCTGGATTGTAATATGAAATCGGTTTTTCACTGCGGGTCACCTTAAAAAGTATGAGAAGCAAGTTTAAAACAACATTGCAGAATATAATGTTATAGGTTCTATGGTATAGCCTATTGCTCCTGGACTGCAAACCAATGCAACATGTTTTTCTGTCCTGAATACTGTAGCCAATGGTAACACAACAGTAAGTAGTTATAGATCTAAACATAGAGAAGGTGCAGTACAAATGCAGTATAAATGACGAAAAATGGATAGTATACCTGTAGGGCACTTAGCATGAATGGAGCATGAAGGGCTGAAAGTTGCTATAGGAGGGTCAGTGAGTTAATGGTGAGTGAATGTGAAGGCGTAAGACATTACTGTTAAACACTGTATATTTAGGCTACACTAAATTTTTTTAAAAATAAAGTAATTGTGCTACAATGTTAGGACGGCTTCATGTCACTAGGCAATAGGAACTTTTCAGCTCCATTATAATTCTATAGGACCACTGCAGTATATGTGGTCCTATAAGATTATAATGGAGCTGAAAAGTGCTAGTGAGCTAGCTTCTTAACTGGGATACAAGTTTGTTTGTAAACGTACATAAAGGTATTTACATGTGTTAGCCCAAGGTCACCTAAAAGGTAGCAAAAGTGTTTAGCCAAGAGGATCCACACAGAGAACAGCAAGCGTTATCTACCGCCATACCACCCTGAAGGCACCCAGATCTCGGAAGCTAAGCAGGGTCAGGCCTGCTTAGTACTTGGATGGGACAATAGTGGTAAGGTAAGAAGATTAATGCTCCAGGACAGGTCATTATGCGGCACCTGGCTGTCAGTACAGTTATTAAAATGTAAATATATATATTTACAAACTTTGATCCCAGTTAAGAAGCTCGATAGCACACACCCAACTATTGCGAGTCCCTTTACTCCAAAGTCCTCAAGGGAGTGAGGGAAGTAAGTAAAAGGGCAGAGGAAAAGAATGAATGAATGCGAGACAGCAACTGTACAGGGACTTGTTCCCATACTGCTTTCTACCAGAAACGTTCTCAGTTTCCTTTCTTCTACTAGACATGTTCCAAGGGCCAAAACCTCAAACAATGTGATTTTGTAGATTTGAGAGTGTGTGACCACAGAAAGGAAAGGGAGGCAGCACATGCCAGCCAGCGATAGAATAAGTCTGCAGCATGCATCACCCCAATGAAACAAATAATTTATTTCCTCCCCTTCCTTCGCCCAGAGCCACTGTGAGAATGGGCTACAGAAAGTTTCGAGGCAGTAAAGCCAGTGGTTCACCCAGAACATCTGCCATAAAAATTATGGTGACGAGAAAGTGCTCCCGCAACGTTTGCTCAAAAGCCGGGGTCAGGTTGAGGGCTGGAGGAAGTTCCCACCCGCAGCATCCACCTCCCGGACTCCTCACCATGTGCATCGCTTCTTCCATCCACTTTTCGGTCTCCTCTGCCGACACCGAGCACGCGCCGTCTGCAGTTGGCGTGGTCGCCGCCTTCGCCTCCATACCCTGCCGCCACTCAGCGCCAGAGGCCGCGGCGGAGGAGGAGCGCGGGCAGCAAGCGGAACGCAGCAGAGGCGGGCTCCTGTTTCCGGGGGAGTCGAATGGCAGAACACCCGGGAGCGATTTCTGAACGGACCTGGGCGTGTCGGACCTGTGAGCGGCGGCGGCGGCGCGGCGGCAGCGGCAGAAAGCGCAGCTGCTTTGCTGGAGTCCACGCCCCCTTCCCGCTGTGGTGACAGACTCTGCGGAAAGTCAAGTTTGTGATTTAGGTAGAGCACAGAGCGGGACGACGGCGCACTTGCCGGGTCATCCGGGCCAGGTGACGAAGAAACAGTTTCCCGGTGAAGCAGCCCCTCGCCCTTAGTCAGCCCACATACCCCTAAGGCCTAAAGATGCTGAGGTCTGTATGGAATTTTCTGAAACGTCACAAAAAGAAATGCATCTTCCTGGGCACGGTCCTTGGAGGTGGGTGACAGCGTGCTTGAAAAGGGGCATTGGGAGAAGGGGGTGGGAGAAGTGACTTTCTTCTAAAATAAGGACAGGCTGGGCGATCCTAGTCTGGGATATGTAGAAGGGATTCGATCAACCATCGGATGAGAAGGGAGGTGGCCAACCTCCAGGGTTCTCCCATCTCTGCAGTTGAGAAGTGCCTGTGTGCCCCTCTCCCTGTCACCGCCTCTTAACTCTTTCTCACCAATCCTTTTTTTCTCACAGATCTTTGGAGAACTCATCACAGTTTAAGTTTCTGTATCAAGGCACCATTCTCTTACAGATACGTTTTTTTAAAAAATTCTGCTTTCCTGTAAGATTCTTCATTTCTGTTTGGCACTCTTGCTACTTCGGCTTTCGCCCTTAGGAGTTTCATAATAATCTAGGAGAGTTACCTATAGGCTATACTTCGGGTGGTGTTTGAATTTTTGAAAACGGCGATTTGAATTTTTGAAAACGGCGAAGGGATATGGATTGGACAAAGAAAAACAAATCAATATTTTAGCTCTGTTTCTGCCATTTTAGAATACAAACTATGGCAGTAAGAAAAATGCTTGAGGGATGTTGTACAATATTCCTCAGGATCTTCAGGGTTGAGATCATTATAATCTAGGTGACATAACTGAGTTCCACGGGCCCAGAGGAGATTTAGAAACAGGTAAGATAAAAATCCTGAGACTCTGTTCTCTCACACAGTGCTCATGTCATAATATTCAGGGATTCGAAGCAGGGAATAAAAAGTGAATTTTATGAAAAGGACATCTAGGAACTTTAAAAGAGGGAATTTGTTAGAGCTTTTGAGAAATATTCTTAACATTTATTACCTGCTATGTTTTAAAAAGTACTTAAAATCAAGAACAGAGTTTCCCAAAGAATTTGATTGGTTTTTCTTGTAGTTTAGATTGTATTCTGTTGTCCGCAAACAATTTGAAATTAACAATACCTTTAGCATCAATAGTTAAGATTTTGGTGAAGCTTGAAAGTTTGAAACAGAGTTCTTGTTGCTGAGGCAAGGATGCTGTTTTGCATGTCTCTGAGGTCTATCACAAATTGATAATAAGCATATGTAAATTTTGAACACCTTCTTTGAGAATTCCTTTTTGTATAAAAGGTTATTTTGTGATATCTTCAGTCTCTGGTATCTAATGTGTATTTAAATTATCCTAAAACTACAGAATCCATTTTATTATAAAAGCGAAACATATATATGTGATTGAAGTAATACAAATAAAATATTTTTGCCTCTACTGAAGGAAGGAAAATTATTTCTTTAACAATCTTAGAAGGAATACTCCTTCAGCTTATGGAACAACCTAGTGGTAAATTAGAAATAATCACAAGGGAAGCAAAAGAGAATACTTAAAAGATACTTACAGATTTTTTTTAAAAAGTCTAACAAGAGCTTTATAGTTGAAGAATAAGAGGAATGCAAAAAAAGAAGTTCTGATGGATAGAAAGCTTAAACAATCCTACTGAAAGGAGTCAGTCTGAAAAGAAAGGAAGAATAGATGACCCTGGTTGGTATTTGTTTGAGCCTCATATTCTTTCTGCTTCAGGGAGAAAGTTCTGCAATATGTTCGATTTTAATTAACCTAAGAAATAATTGTTAAGTGCCTGTAGTGCTGAAGGTAATATGAATGGCAATACAAGATTTACAGATTTTTAATAGTAATAGCTACTATTTACTGGGTGCCCATTTTATGCTGGGCATTGTGCTAAGCCCTTCTGCTTTAGGCAGAATGACAAGAAAGCAATGATTATTATCCCCATTCAAAAACGTGGCAACAAGAGCCCTAAGCATTTCAAAAATTTGCCCCGGTGTCAGAATTAGTGAAAGGGAAACTGGAATTCAAAACCAGGTGTGTTAGACCCCAAAGCACATTCTCTTTCCACATTATATCACTGTGCCTTTGTGGCCTTTATGGTCTGATAGGAAGGAAAAGCAAGCATACATGTAATTAAGATATAGAAAAACAAGAGAGGTGAGGAAATGCTGTACAGATCACACTGGCAAGTAGCACATGCAGTTGTCAAAAATCAGGAAGAATTTCATGGAAGAAGAGACACATTTTGACAGGCTTGCATGCTGGATACTATATCAACAGGTATGCTTAGAGAAGTTTGGCCATTCAATAGTGAGGGGGATAAGTAAGTAAAATCTTGAGAGCAGGCCTTCTTAAGTAACAGTTTCTGTTTCTGTGAATTTTGGATAGGTGACTAATTGGTTTACACCAGTTTGTATAATTTGACCAGTTTGGGGGTTTGGGTGTGTGTGTGTGTGTGGTTTTTGTTTTTGTTTTTGTTTTTCCAGATAGGATCTTGATCTGTTACTCAAGCTAGAATGCAATGGTGTGATCATAGCTCACTGAATCCTCAATTTCTCCTTTGCTAGCTTTACAACATAACTCAAGTAGAAATGCTTCCTTAGGAAGATTTGCCTAACATCTTCACACTTTCCTCACTCAAGTGATCCTCCCACCTCAGCCTCCCAAGTAGCTAGGACTACAGGTGTGCACCATCATATCTGGCTAATTTTTTAATTATTTTGTAGAAACACGGGTCTCATTATGTTGCTCAGACTGGTCTTGAACTCCTGGTCTCAAGCAATCATCCTGCCTCAGCCTCCTAAGGCACTGGAATTATAGGCATGAGCCACTGAGCCCAGCATAATTTGACCAGTTTGTGAAAAGACTAGAGCAGTGGCTCCCAAACTTTTTGATCTAAGGTCTCCTTTACAGTCTGAAAAATTAAGGATCCTAAAGAGTTTTCTAAATTTTATTATCTATTAATAGTTACCATATTCTAAATTAAAATGAAAAAAATTTAATATTTATTAATTCATTTTAAAATAATAAACATAACATTAACATAAATAACATTTTCAAAAAATTAATGAGTATATTATTTTATGTTTTGCAAATCTCTTTAATGTTGTAATTGAAGAAAACAGGATTTTCTTTCTACATACTGTCAGTTGTGATACCACACATCATGTAGCCTCTAAATTACTCCACTGTGTCCTTATGAGATAATGAGAATGAAAAAGGTAAATAATATTTTAGTATTATTACAAAAATGGTTTGATTTTGCAGACCTCCTGAAATAGTCTTAAAGACCCCAGGGGTGCCCGTGCCACACTTCGAGAACCATTGCACTTGAAAAAGTGTTGGAAAACAGAGAGCAACCAGATTCATATGTATTAACTTGCTGGTTCCTAAAAGACTCAGAACATTGACTTGGATTTATAACTTAAATCCTGTAATATCTGGCCTCTTCACATTTTTCATTCATTCATTCATTCATTCATTCTGTCATTAAACAAACATTTGAATGAGAGTAAGTGCCTATTCTCACTGTACTAGGCTCTGGAAATCAAAGGAATAAGACGGTTCCTGACTGAACTCATGGTACAGAAATGGAAGTAAACAAAAGCAATATGATAGTATAGTACAAAAATAGAGCAAGGTGTGGGAGCATAGATGAGAGGAAAGTGTGAAGACATCAGGCAAAGCTTCATAAGAAATAACTTCTACTTAAGTTGTAAAGCTAGCAAAGGAGAAAGGACACAGCAGGAAAAAGAGCCATTCAAGAGGTTCAGCAACATTGCTTTTTATGAATGAAACTCTATTTCACTATGGCTATGCAAGTAACAAGTGGCAAAAGATGAACTTGGAAAAGTAGCTAGAGTACAGATTATGAAGGGCCTTCCTTATGAAGCCATTCTACATAATTTGGACATTATCCTTTGTAGTGATGCTTCCAAGAGTTTAGTATGGATAAAAAACATCACTGAAGGAGCTTAAGAAAACATAGGATTCTTTATTCCAGATTCTGACTGTTTAGCTTTAGAGTGCAATTCAAGAATTCCTTAATTTTGCAAATATTTATTGAGTTCTAAGTCCCAGTCAGAGACTATGGACTGGGGATGCAGGATCATACAAGATAAGACATTTGGAGATATTTTCAAGGAGTGTCCTTAAAGGCTACATTTTAATTGTCCCAAGTAATTCTGATGTAAGTGGAACAAGGAGACCACATTCAGAAATGTTGGGAGGATTCTAAAAACATGAGTGACATAATCAGATTTATGTTTTAGAAAATCACTTTGCATATATAAGATGGGTAAAACAGGTTTGTGACCAGAAGAGTTAGGAAACTGTTTATCCAGTTCAAGAGCATTAATTTTTAGGGTCTAAATGAAGACAGTGATAAAGAAGTTGTGAATAATTAGCAAGATTTACAAAATATGTCTGAAATAGAATACTGTAGTAGGATTTGATGATCTGTTGGATTGGGAACAGATCAATAGGTTAATTAACAGGTTATTTTCAAACTCTTTTTGAAATTGTTAACCTTGTAAAATAGTTGCATTGTAGGGATTTTCATCCAGAAAGAGAAGACTAAGAGATAGTTTTAAAACAATTGAATTGTAGGAAGACTGGAAGTCTTATTTTACCAGTAATGTTATTAAAGGAAAACTCAAAACGTTTGACATTTTTTAAGGTATTTAGTAAATGTTATCATTGTTAATACATAAAGTCATAGCTACAAAAGAAACATTAAAGCTCATATAATCCCAGTCTTTTATTTTATGAATGAAGAAATTTAGACACAGAGAGGAAGGTACTTTCTCAAAACTCACCTAGCTACTTGGTAACAGAACCGTCAATATCTCCTGTTTTCCAGGCTAGACTGCCAGTCAAATATATAGATAGCCCTGAGCTCCATATTTTAGCTAATAAATTATCTGCCCTCATTCCTGTTTTTCTAGGGGGACAAATCTGACAAAATCAGAATTTATGAATTTTGAGTATAAGAGCCTGGATGAATTAGACCTTGTAAAAGAACTTAGTTCAGTGCTAAACTTAAAAAAAAAAAAAATGGATTGTGTGATTTTAGCCTGATTTCAAAGTACCACAAAATGGGCAGCTTAAGCAACAGAAATATATCATCTTACAATTCTGAAATTTAGAAGTCCAAGATCAGATTTGATCTTTGGTTGGTTCCTTCTACAGAGTATAAGGGAAGAATCTATTCCAACCCTCTCACCATGGCTCATAGATGGCCATCTCCTCTCTGTTTTTGCTTTGTCTTTCCCCTGCAATTGTCGATGTCCAGGTTTGCTTTTATAAGGACAACAGTCTTATTTAATTAGGACCCACCTTAATGTAACTGAACACATTTCACTTACAGGCCACATGACACCACCTATATTCTTATTCTGTGGTGTTACATTTTAACTTGATTACCACTGTAAAGATTCTATTTCCAAATAAGGTCACATTCTGAGGTGTTGGGACTTCAACATATGAATTTGGGGGGAAACACAATTCGATCCATAATAATTCATTTTCTTTTTTAGTTTAGTTAGAGTATCAAAGTGTGGCTCACTAACCACTTTGTAGTGTTCACATTCCCAGTGAGGAAAACTGACTACCCCTCAGATACAGACCAAAATGCACACATGTATTTCATACCACCTATGCTGAAATGTGTTAAGTAACAATTCCTAAAAAAATTCATCAGGTTTGCTGAGATTCTAATTAAAGCAGTAGACCTTTTCCCCAGGGAAACACACCAATCAAATTTACTATTATTCAAGAAAAAAAATCTTAGCTATACAAAAAGTGTCATCTTAGTGTTTGATTTTACAGTATAATATGAGAAATAATCGTTTTACATGTAACTTTCAGTAAGCTGTTGAGCAAATAAGATACAAACAATTCCTTCAGATCTATTATGTCAGAGATGCCTGTCATAGAGTAACTTTGTGAAATGTAAGTCAGTTTCCTTTGTTGGTATTGTAGTGCTATCATCAAGTTTATTTAGAAAGGAGTACAGGAAAGGTAGCCATGAAGTCACTTATGTGAACTCTCATTTCTTCTTTAAGCTTGGTTATAAAACATTAATTTGCATAGAAACATAGCAACAGCAATCATACAGTAGTTCAAATTGTTTTTAGCACATATCCTTTTACTGAACTATTATTTTTAAGAGTATGTAATATCTTATCAGTTCACCTATAACGCCTGTATTAATGAAAATAATTCAGGATATTCAGGATATGTTTGCTTTGTAGTTCCTAGAGGGCTACCCACTTTCTATCTGGAACAGCCAAATCTAATTACTTTAGTCATGCACAATTCTTAGGTTATTTTTAGTAGATATTGGAGGCTATAGACATTGGAGGTAGGTGAGCATTAGTTACTTCCTTACAACCTTGCTGCCAGGTTATAATGAAACCAAGTTCTGGCACACTTAAAAACATCTACTGGCAAACAGAGATTCAAAGTAACACAACCTGTTCTGTAAGCTTATTGAAGTCCCAGGGTTCTGTCCTTGTTTCATGCTACCACAGAACTGATTATAAAAGATATCCCTGAAGAAAATACCACAGTATTCTAGCTGTAGAATTCAGTTGGCTAACTGGTTAACTCAGTTGACTATGAATCCTTTGATCTAGCAGCTAAGGGTCCCAGGCTAAGTAAACGGTTCCTAAAGGTGAAGGACTTGCTGATTCATATATTCTAGTTCATATGAATATTACCAAAATGTTTTAGCTAGTCCAGTATCTTGAAAACCATTAATTTAATCTATGAAAATCCATTCCTGATGTTCATATGCTAATTAAAAGATATTTGGTGCTGATAAGTGATATAGTTGAAGAGCTTAAGCCTTGGAATGCGGCTTTTGATCAAGTATGGCTAACTAACCACTCTGGAATGTTCACATTCCCAGTTAGGAAAACTCACTGCCCCTCAAGTAGAGACCAAAATATACACATTTATATCATACTGTGTATGCTGAAATGTGTTCAGTTACAGGCCACATGACACCATCTATATTCTTATTCTGTGGTGTTACAATTTAAGGGTTTCTGTACCCTCTTCCCTCTTTTTTTTCTAAATAAGTTACTAATTTTTAGATGAGAGAGTTATATTTTCTCTCTTTTCCTCAAAAGAGATTTTTCTACCACAAGGATGGATAAATAGATGTCTGCCTGACTAACTGCCTTTCTTTCATTGTTCCTTTTAAAAATTTTATATTTTTAAAAAGTATTTTGTGTTTATTAAAGAAAATATCAAGGACAAAATTACCTGTTATCCCACCATTCAGCAATGATCATTGTTTATTATATTTTAGAAATTAAAACTCACCTATTTTTCGGGATCTGTTTCCATTAAAAAAAGCAAAACTTATGGGATTGTATTTTATCACCTAAAAATATAACGTGGATATTTCCTTGAGCCATTAACTGTTTAGCAATGTGGTTTTTAATAGCTGCATAAGAGTTCACTGTATGGCTAGACCATCATTTATTTAAACAATTCTCCATTGCTGGACATTTAGAGTATCTCTAGTCTACTAGTAAAGGCACTACCAGGCTTTTTAGATTTAATTCCTTTCCCTCCTTCAGACCTAGTCCTTATGTGCCTATCATTTCTTCTGTCATTGGCTGTTAAAATGCTGGTCTCCTTTTCTTTGGGCCAGTCTTACAAATTATTTAGGTTTAAAATGTAATTTTAGCTGTCCACTGATGTAAGACTTATAATTGGATAAAGTAGGTTAAAAACACTGTGTAGAATTTTTGGTACTCTAATTAATATAGTAGGGTTTTTTTAACTGATTTTAGGAGTATATATTCTGGGGAAATATGGACAGAAGAAAATCAGAGAAATACAGGAAAGGGAGGCTGCGGAATACATTGCCCAAGCACGACGACAATATCATTTTGAAAGTAACCAGAGGACTTGCAATATGACAGGTAAGTCAGAGAAATATTTATACATGTGTAAAGTTGTTTGATGGTTTGTATTAATTTACCTATCACCAGGATCAAATTTAGAGGAAAAGGCAAAGAAAGGATGATAAATCTAGCAAGCATTTGCATGATTTAACTGAATTATGTCATTTTAATATGAATTTTAAAAATCAGTTCATTCATTTTGCTTATTCATTCAGCAAATACTTGTATCCAGGACTGGGGAAGCAGGAGGTGAACAGCAACAACAAAAAGTCCCTGACCTTTGGAGTTTATATTCTAGTGAGAGAAAAAGATGATAACAAATAAGTAACTTTAGGCTGTGGTGACTGCCATATGGAGCATAAAGCCATGTGAGGGCTGAGACATTCTTTAAGACAGGGATCAGTAGAGTCAGATTTCTTTTAGGTAGCACTGGAGCAGAAACCAAATGTTACAATGGAGCTATGTGAAATGCCTGAGACGGGAACAAGCTTGGTACATTCAGGACACAGCAAAAAGGCCATGTAGCTAGAGCAGAATGAACAATGACAGTGACAAGAAACAAGGCTGCAGAAGTAGGCTTGATCCCACTGGCCCTATTGGCCATAGGAAAGAGTGATTAAGTTTATTAAATTTACTGTAGGCAACTATAGACCTATGAGTCTCCCACAATAGTATACCCTCAGGCAATGTTAATTAATGGCAATAATTTAACCTCCAGAGCTAGAAACAACCTTAGGAGAATGCCATCACAAAATCAACCTGCCCATATTCGAAGAGAACAGGTGTGCTCTAACTGGCATAACTCTTCTAGTTCTTAGATCTATGCCAAGCCTGTCTTTCCTTTTTATTGTTTAAAGCTTACTCATTTCTCTAACATTTCTTTCAAGAACAATTAATTTAGGAAGAATTTATAAAGGTATGTTCTCCTTATTTAATTTTAAAAAGTAGAAATTTTTTAGAGTTAAAGGCTTTATTATTAGTTGACTTCCCTCATTTTACTTGAGGCTGAGATTAAGAAGGGTAAGAGGCACATCCAAAAGTACAACTGGAGTATGATTTTTAATATTTGAAGTAGTAATACCCAGAAAAATATCTGCATTCTACAAAGCAAATAGTAATCATAAATACTATACATAATGACAATTCTGAGCATAAAATGAACATCATAAAAGTCACTTTATAAATGTTTTTTGAGGCCGTGATGAGATAATGCCTGTAAAGTGCTTGACATATAATAAATACTCAGTAAATGATAACTTTTTTAAAGTTACAAAACGATTTAAATTGACATTCAGCATTCAATGTAATGGCATTGCCTGGAACATTTTAACGAATTTTTAGAAAATGGTCTATTTCTGGTTATTACTTGAATTTTCAAAAAATAGTAAAATGTAGCTGCTGGGGTCTTAAAATACATCTCAGTTTGACATGGACCTTTGTGTCGGTTTGGGTCTCCCAGGAAGCAGATGCTAGGATGGGATTAGATGTACAAGAGATCTACTAGTAGATATGCCTGTAAAGAATAAAGGGGAAGGGAGGCAGAAGGAGGCAAGGGAAGCCATTAGGCCACAGTGCAGATCTGACACTTTGAAGGGAAAAAGACAAGGAAGAAAGGAAGATTAGGCAAGAAGAGTCTCAGACTACAGCACAGTTCTAAGAAAGCGTTGGGAGACCAATGAGGAGTCTACGAGCCAAAGTTTCTGGTAAAGGAGACCTGCAGAAATGGGCCTGCAGAAATGTCCCCATCCAAACAGTGTCATTGGCTGGGAGTAGTGCAGACATGATGGTGGATCCAGAGGAGTGGCAGCTGGGTTTGTCAGTTAACTGTGCTCTTCCAGCAAAAGATAGAGGTCACACATTTCCATGACACAACCCTAGGATGAACAAACAGCTAAGTATAGGCAATTAAAAGTAAAATATTTGATCTCTAAGAGCCAAAATATAGGTTCAGTGAAAACCTCCCAAATTAGTTTTCTGCACATTCTGCATTTTTTGTACAAAGCATAACATGAGCATTGATAATGGGGTTACAAATAATATGATTAAATTTCTATTCTTTTGGATAAGAAGTAATCGATGTCCTGGAAAAAATGAGTGCTTTGGGGTAAATATAACTAGTTTTCTCACCCAAGATGTTTTCCCTTTTAAAATGTGGTGTTCATAGCCAGGTGTGATGGCTCATGCCTGTAATCCCAGCACTTTGGGAGGCCAAGATAGGAGGATTGCTTGCACCCAGCAGTTCAAGAGTAGCTTGGGCAACATAGTGAGACCTCATCTGTATAAAAAATTTAAAAGATTAGCTGGAGATGGAGGCACATGCCTCTAGTTCGAGCTACACAGGAATCTGAGGCAGGAGGATCGCTTGAGCCCAGGAGGTTAAGGCTTCAGTGAGCCATGATTATACCACTGCACTCCAGCCTGGATTACAGAGTGAGAGTCTGTCTCAAAAAAAATGTGGTGGTCTTGATACTTTTTCATTTTGTTATTGTTATTTAGGGCTTAGAAACTCATTTTACATTTTTATGTGTATATTCCTTCATTTCTTTTTTTTTCCTCTAATCGCATGACAGATTCTTACTCTCCAGCATTTCTTATTCCACATCTAGAGCCATAAGTAAACTAACTCCCAAAAATTACGTGAAGTTTTTTTCCCATAGATTGCCAGTCTCATTTCATCTTCACATTATTCCTGGAAGTAACAAACAATAACAAACAGCCACTGACAAAACTAAAACTAAAACTCAGCAACTCTTAGTTTCTAACCCAGTGTACTTTTATCTGTAAAAATAAATGTTTATTGCTTCGTGGTATTACAAACAGTAAACATTTACAATAAACAGTAACAATACCCACTGACAAAACTAAAACTCAGCAACTCTTACTTCCTAACCCAGTACACTTTTGTCTAGGTTATAATAAATGTTTATTGCTTTGTAGTATTTAATAAATCAACTTTTTAAAAATTAGAAATGAAAAATGAAGCAAAAAGTATAGCTGAATGTAAAAATGTTTTTGACCATTGTTATTATGTCAGAAGTGAACACTTATTATAAAAATTGGGAGATTAAGGAAAATAAGAGAAAAAGGAATTATTCATAATCTATAGCTCAGAGACCACCACTATTAAAATCTGAGAATAATGCTTTCTATTCTTCCTTCTCTGTGTACTTGTTTATGTTGCTGTGATCATAATGTTTATGTGATTTTGTTATATTACATAAGCAGATAAATGATTTGTTAGTATGTAATAGATCTATAATAATAATAAAAATAATTTGAATTGTCTAGCCCTGACATTCCCTTCGGACTCCTGCTAGTTGCTATCCGTAACATATAGCCTAAAACAGTGTGCATTTCTTAGTGGGGGCAGTCATATCACATGTGACCTTTTTTTTATTTTTATGTTTGTATTACAGTGCTGTCCATGCTTCCAACACTGAGAGAGGCTTTAATGCAGCAACTGAATTCTGAGAGCCTCACAGCTCTGCTAAAAAACAGGTAAATGCAAGTTACAGCATTTTCTGTTTATGTACTGCACTTAAAGTTTATAGAATGAACTGATATACTTTTCAAAAATCTTAGTTGTTTTTCTAATTAAAGCTTATGTAGGCTCAGTAAGAAGAATATTAACTATATCATTTAATCCATATTTACTTTTGTCTATGCTTGACTTTTTTGCACAAAGCATTCAAGGCAATGATATTTGTATGTGTTGTTTTTCATATAAATAGATCTTACAGCACTTTGAAATTATTAACAAATTTAATTATAGAATCCTTGTGAAATGTGCTCCTGAACCAGATGCTGTGAAGCTAACAAAATTATATTAAATATTGTGCTTCTGAAAGAATTTACAGTGTAATAAAGGATGTGAACATACATTTTAAATAAATAAGGCATACAGGACTTTTAAAAAATTACTAACAAAATGAAATACAAACATAACAGGGGCATACAGCACTAATAATTTACATTGCCATGGCAGTTTGCTGTTTCCAAAAGCACTTTCACATGTGTAACCTTGTACATTGAGTAGTTGTTGGATAGTGTAATTTGTTGGGTAGTGATACTGTATCAGTTTGAGAAGACTTCCAGCAGGAAAGGGCTTCTTATCTTATTGACAATGATGAGAGGGTGGGCAGGGAAATGATTTCACTAAATAAATTTTAATCATTGTGGCCTTCCTAAAATAATCACTTGCCTTTAATCACCCTTCAGATAACCAGGGGAAAGGTAGTGCTATCTCTAAACCATCTCACTGTCCCAGCCCTGATGCTAGTTACTTTCCATATATGCTCCCAAAATAATTTACACAATATCCCTGTGAGCTCCCACTTAATTTACACAATATCCCTGTGAGGCAGATACTACTATTATTCATTTTGCAATAGGAATTCAGTGCTCAGACAGGCTAAATAACAAGAGGGAAATGTTTTTTGAAAACACTTACTGTATTCAGAGAATACTTCCCAAAATAATAATGGATTTGTGTAGTTGAGATTTCTTTTATCTAATTAAAACAGAATGCTGGTATGAGGGATTTTCCATTTTAAATTTCTTCATTCTTGGAGGTAGACAAACCTTCCTTCCTTTTTACAGATACAAGGTTTAGCTTATAAATTAGTTCATATAGTTTTATGAAGAAGAAACATATAAGTGAATAGCATTTTTATAAAAGCAACATAATACAGATAAAATAATCATGGTGGCATTCTTCCTTCTTGGTGAATCTGTTTCCTCCAAGGCCCTATGTTCCATGTGCTTTAGGGAATTTAATAATTAAGATAAAGTCTCTTTAAGACCTTTTCATCCAAAGGAGGAAATAGACTAAATAAATCATCATAATTCCAGACACATTTAATGCAATGACAAAAAGTAAAAGGAAAATATGGGAGTATCAAAAAAACCAAGGGATTAATTTTGATGGATAATTCTGGACAGCTTTAAAGAAAAGATGTGATTCTCTTTTTTAAATCATACACAGGGAGGAGAATTTCTTAAATTCTGGAGAATTTAAGATGGGCCACAATTCTCCTCTTTCACGGTTTCCTCTTTACATATCTCAATGTTACTTTTTCTTGGCTTTCTTTTGATTTGAAATTACTATTTGTAATTTGGTGGAGGGAGAAGGGTAATATCCATTTGAAAAGTATTTGCATAAATAAGGGATTGATACCTTACAAAGTGTGATTAGATAAGGCCTCTAATTTTATGACTGCTTATATATTAGTTTTATGTGAGACTAGTCTCCTGTAAGCCTGTTGCACAAGTTATTTTTTTCTTTAAATTATTTGCAATAATCAGAAATAAGTGCATGATTTGATAGTCTTATTTTGCTAACTTCATAATAGCAAATACACAGTTATCACTGTTTTTGGTATTTGGTACTCGTGTTGAGGACAGATATTGGCAATGAAGTTTCAATGGCAAAAAAAAAATCTCAAACATCCTCCATCTTAAGTGAAGTAGAACACTTTGAAAGGATTCGTTTAATTCTCTCTCTCTCTTTTTTTTATTTCATATGAAGGCCTAAAGTTTAATTCTTTTTTTTTTGAGACGGAGTTTCGCTCTTGTTACCCAGGCTGGAGTACAATGGCCCAATCTCGGCTCACCGCAACCTCCGCCTCCTGGGTTCAGGCAATTCTCCTGCCTCAGCCTCCTGAGTAGCTGAAATTACAGGCACGCGCCACCGTGCCAAGCTAATTTTTGTATTTTTAGTAGAGAAGGGGTTTCACCATGTTGACCAGGATGGTCTCCATGTCTTGACCTCGTGATTCACCCGTCTCAGCCTCCCAAAGTGATGGGATTACAGGCGTGAGCCACCGTGCCTGGCCTAAAGTTTAATTCTTAAACTTCAGGTATTTTAGTGACATTCAAGAGTCAGGTTATATTTAACTCGCAGTTGATTTCCATCAGACAAATCATTTGAAAGGAATATTTGCATAGAAAGTACTTTTCTCTATTCTTCTACATAGATTTGGAATCTTTTACATTGATTTTGGAGTTTTTTTTTTTAAAAGACAGTATCAGTTTTTAAAAATCTACTTTTAAAGTCTAATAATGTTTAGTGTAAACATGAAAAAATGTCCTGGGTAACAATAACTGTCTTCTCCCACCAAAATCATCCCAAATAAAATAGTTTGTTTTTGCTTTTTTTTTTTTTTTTTTTTTTTTTTTCAGACAGAGTCTTACTCTAGCCCAGGCTGGAGTGCAGTGACACCATAATGGCTCACTACTGAGTGCTTTCTATATTGAAATTTTTGGAACCACTGTTTTCTTTTTTCATTCAGAATTTTTATAAGAATTACTTAGAAATTTTTCTGACAGAACATTCAAAAAGAGATATGATTTACTTATAATACGTTAAATACTTGATCTTTGAATTGTGGTTGATTCCCATTTTAATCAGAATACATGTGGCATTCTACCATGTGTCTGGAACACTAGATTAGATTAAGGGTGAATAAATGTCTTGCACGAGTTACTCAACACATTTTCTGAACCTGTGCCATCTAGGAAAGAGATGACTAAAACTCTAGAGTCTGCTCATTGGCAAAGAAAGACAAGAAGCTAGTAGTATCCTTACAATTGTAATAGTAACTCAATTTCTTACTGGAATGCAAATTTATGTCTGAAAATTATAATAAAGAATATGGACTTGTATTTTTTATATCTGTAGCTTTTATGTTTTCTAGTAATGTATTTTTATTGTATTTAACATAAGTACTGGTCTGTGACAGGGAAAAAATACTGATCCTCCACTAGTGGTTTGAAAAGCACTAAACTACATCCACATAGTCCGTCTGTACAATGGGATACTATACTTTAGTTAGAATAGAAAAGTGGCTACCATCTGTACACAGTAGTCCCACCCACCTTATCCATGGTTTCACTTTCCAAGGCTTCAGTTAGCCATGGTCAACCATGGTCCAAAACTATTAAATGGAAAAATCCAGATAAATGATTCCTAAGCTTTCAGTTGTGTGCCATGGCGAATAACATGATGAAATCTCCCTTCATCCAGCAGATCCATGCTGTAAATGCTATCTGCTTGTTAGTCACTTAGTAGCCATCTTGACCATCAGATTAAATGTTAAGGTATTGCAGTGCTTGTGTTTAAGGAACCCTTATTTTATTTAATAATGGCCCCTAAGAGTAATGATGCTGGTATATTACATTTGTGTTATTTTATTGTGAGTTATTGTTGTTAATTTTTTACTTTGCCTAGTTTATAAATTAAACCTTATCATAGGTACATATGTAGAGGATAAAATATAGTGTATATAGGGGTTGGTACTATCTTCAATTTCAGGCATCTACTGAGGGTCTTGAAACGTATCCCTCAGGGGGATAAATAAGGGATTTATTTTTGTGTGTGTGTGGGAAAAAGGAAATGCCAATGCAAGATCAATGACATTAAGTTAAAAACCCATTGATTAATTTTAGACCAGTTTTTAAAATTTTGACTAATTTAGAAATATCAGTATGAATTCATGGTGTATATTACCTTTTTTATTATATGCACATATAAATAAGCAAACACTTATTTATTAGTTCACTGGAAAAAATCTTAGAAATAATGACCTACTCTGTAGCAATAAACATTCTTAATCAAGGGTTTTGGTCTCTACAATTTCCTGCTATGAGAAACCAGGACCCAGTGAAATTGGTGATTTCAAGTCTGCAGTAAGAATTCAACAAGATGAACCCAGAACAAGTTTTTATGTCAGAAACTGTGAAAGTTATAAAAGACTAATGAACGATTGATTATATAAATCAAAAGCATTCAGGAGCCAATGTAAATAGTCTTCCAGAAGTGAAAGATGGGTAATTTGAACATCGATAGAGATAATAACTGCAGTGGATTGAAACGTGAAATATGTGAAATATATGTGTAAATTCATGTGTTTATGATCATAAAACAAAAAGACTTCATATTTACCTTAAGGATTATAGGACCTGCTTCATTATTTCTAAAACATCAAGTTAGGGAAAGAAACATTTCCTCTGCTTTTCCTTTATGATTTTATGATATATGTATACATACACTCAAGAAAAAGATTATAAAAATATGTACTAGTGAAAGTGGTTGTTATTGATTACTGGTATTACAATTTTTTTTTTACTGTATTTTGTGGGCTTGCTTTTCTGCAATTATGCTATGCTATTTTTAATTTAAAAGATCTACATCTATAAAGTTTAGAGTTTTCTATTAGATTATCTAGACTATTTTCATTTTTTTAAATTTTGTTCTTTAGGCCTTCAAACAAGCTAGAAATATGGGAGGATCTGAAGATAATAAGTAAGCCTGCATATTCTGTGTGACAGCACATCCATAAAATATTTATACAGTGAAATTTTGTGCATTCTATTAGGATAACTCTTCTTTACCTGCCTTTTAGAATCGTTGTTAGGATTAAATAAAATAATATGGGTAAAACAAGTAGATCAATGTCTGGTCATAGAAAGCATCCAGTAAATGTTAGTGGTAATGCTATTGTTGTTATTATGATGACGGTAGGTAAAATTGTCGTAGACTACATATGTCTTTATTAGGTACTGATATCTCTAATGTACTTTAAAGGAAGTTTTTATTGCAATCCAGATAGTAAATTTACTTTGATATTGTATTGCAAACTTTTGTTAGTAATAAAAAATTGAAACAAAAACCTAAAGCAGGGCCTACATATCTGCTTGTCTCAGAACTTCATACTACCTGTTATTCTCATTTTCCCATCTATTCTACTAATCCTTGTCAACAGAATGTTGCTTAAGCCTTGCCTATTTGAAAACAAATTAAATGTCTCGAGTTCCCTGTATTTTCTTTCAGCTTTTGTACTTTTTCTTAATCCTTATGACCATGACCAAGATTTCTACATTCCCTTCCTTCTCATCACTCCCACTCATGCTTTGATGCACTACAGCCTGGGTTCCACACCTGTGTCTCCACCCAAGCAGATCTCTCAAGCATCAGTAACAAGTTCTGTGTTGCCAAATCTGCTGGACATTTTCCTCCTGCTAGAACTCTGGGCAACAGTCAACACCTTCACTAGTCAACACCTTCACTCTCTCCTCTGTTTTGAACAGTCTGTCCTAGGCTACTGAGAAGCCAGTTTTACCAAGCTTCCCTAGTCTTTCTGTACCTTTCTCCACTCCTTAAACAGACTCATCCTCCTCAAGCTGCCATTGAAGGCTAGAGTTCTTCCTAACCTTCCACTCAGCCCTCTTCTCTTACTTGAAAATAGGTCTGTTGACAAGTAAGAGTTCTGAAGCTGCAATGCTTTGTGCTTCCCAGACTTTTCCTTGTTTTCCTTTCTAAGCTGATAATATATACCTCTTTCACCTAATATATTTTATTGGTTATTGTCTCAATTAAGGGATCATACCTACTTTTTATTTAAAAGGAGAGACTGTGAAATCTTCTGAATTGATATATTTTTATACCTGAAACAGTTATAAATATGTTTTCAAAAGTCATCTTATGAAAAAATAACCATAGCAATGGTTCATGATTTTACACATGTATATTAATCACAGTACCAAGTGGTTTTCTTTTCTCTATGAAGGTTTCACAAGAAGTATCGTGGCTGTATACAGTACCTGTATGTTGGTTGTTCTTTTGCGAGTCCAGTTAAACATAATTGGTGGATATATTTACCTGGATAATGCAGCAGTTGGCAAAAATGGCACTGTAAGTTTAATAGACTTAAATAGACATTGTCCTTTCCCTCAAGAGGTTCAAAGTTTAACTTAATTTATCCTGATACCAATTTCTATGAAATAAATATTTTTTTATATTTCATGTGATTGTGAACTTTTAGTATTATGAATAATTCTTATACTTTGGAAAGTAGAATTTTTGTTGTTTTAAAAAAAATTATTTTCCCATCATTTTGGATCTTGAAAAATTTCAGCTAAAGTTATATTGAAAACATTACTTATTTACTAGTTTAAAACTTGGATAATTTAACCTTATTTCTGTTTTGTACAGACAATTCTTGCTCCCCCAGATGTCCAACAGCAATATTTATCAAGTATTCAACACCTTCTTGGAGATGGTAAGATTCTTACTTGTGACTTTTGTACTAATTTTAGTTCATTTATTTGTATTATTGAAGAATTTTTAAACTAAGCAAGGCTTTTAAGTTTGCTTTTTCTTTAATAGGCCTGACAGAATTGATCACTGTCATTAAACAAGCTGTGCAGAAGATTTTAGGAAGGTAAGGCATTTTTCTTTGACTTTTCTGACTTCCTGATTCTGATGAATGAAAGAAAATTAGAATTGTTCTAGTGAAGTCAATGACTTGACAAATGGTGGTTTGTGAAACTCTGTAATCTAATCAGATACCAACTTGGGATATTGCCTTGTGGGATCTATTTTCTTCATCAGTATCAACCTTTGTATTCAGAGGGGAAAGTTTTAATATTTCATTGTTTATTGATTGATTGCCATACAAATCAGAAATATTTGGGTCATGAGATAAGAGACCTACTTTAAAATCTGCCTCCGAGGCTTTTACCTCACACTTATACTAGTAATATCTATAATTATAGTAGGAATTCTCTTATGAAATCCACAGAAATATTTTTCTTGGCTCTGTAATAATGGCTCTTAACTGGTGGCTGATTTCTTAATCCATTCTATTCCAGTCAGCAGTTACAGGTGTGAGCAGAAGAAACAGGATTTTAGACAGTAGCCTGTTAAGAAAAGAGTGTATATAGGATGTGTTGTATAGTTTTAATTTATCCCAATTCCCTTTTCTCTGTTTCTAGTGTTTCTCTTAAACATTCTTTGTCCCTTTTGGACTTGGAGCAAAAACTAAAAGAAATCAGAAATCTCGTTGAACAGCATAAGTCTTCTTCTTGGATTAATAAAGATGGATCCAAATCTTTATTATGCCATTATATGATGCCAGATGAAGAAACTCCATTAGCAGTGCAGGTGCTTAATTCATAACCATTTAATCAAACCAGTTACTCTATACTTTTAAAATTTTACTCTGTCTTGAAATTTCAATTTCTGAGTCTCTTGAAAGGTAAGTAATTGAAAGGTATATATTTCAATAATTGAAATAAAACCCCATTAATATTTAAAACAAACTGCCATTATGACTGATTTCTAATTAGAAGCACGTGACAATTTTAGATATTCAGTACATTTTTATTATTAGGTATGCAACAGTGGACAGAGTGATACATATTGGAGATGTAAAATTAGTAAGACCTGCCCATTACACTTGGGGAACTGAAGATACAAATTCTATTAGTGTGGCTACACATATTTTTGTATCAGATCAAGTATCAGAACATAGAGCTAAAGGTCAGGGCAAGATTATAAAGAGCTTTGTATGCCAAGATAAGGAGTCTGAACTCCAATTTGTACACAAAGAAAGGTAGATTTTAACCAGTCCAGTAACACAATCACCTTTGCATTTTAAAAAAGTTAATGATGGCAGTACAAAAATGGACTGAGGACATTATAGTCATCCACTTGAGAAACAAAGTCTAATCCAAAAATTTTGTCTGCTGGCTTATACCCATTCTTTGTAATTGGGAGAACAGCTCTCAATTGACAACTGGAAAAGCCTTAGAACAGAGAGACCCCTATGCCATACCTCAGCATAGAGGCACTGTTAGAACAGAATGCCTTGTTTTCATTGCCTGAAGGATTTTCCACTCCCAGAGACCTCAAAGATGAACCTGTTTGGCTGCTGAGAGATCCTACATTCATGAGTAGGCAAAAAAAAAAAAAAAAAAAAAAAAATGTTGCATTCCATTTAAGGAAACCCTATAACTTGAAAGATAAAGACAAAAACTGATCAAACAGAACAGATGGGACAGAATTAATGAAACAGGAGAAAACTTATAAAATAGAATCTCAAGGAGACACAATAAGAGTATTAAAAAATATTTTTAGGACTCTAAATCAATTTATGTTTTCAGAATTCAAAACAGAACTACAGAGAAAACAATTCAAAGAAAGAAGATGAAGAGAAAAATGATGGACCAGATCTTACTGAACTGAATTACAACCTGAAATTTAAGATTGAAAGGACACATAGAGTTTCAGATTAGATTGATGAAAAAAGACACACATGTATACTGATAAAAGAAAAAAACATGGGAGGTTGAGGTGGGAGGATCATGTGAGTCCAGGAGTTCATGACTAGCCTGGGCAACAAAGCAAAATCCTGTCTCCAAAAATTAAAATTTAAAAAATCAGCCAAATGGGCATAGTGGTACATGGTTATAGTCCCAGCTACTCAAAAGGCTAAGAAGGGAAGATTTTTTAAGCTCAGAGTTCAAGGCTGTGGTGTGCTATGGTTGCACCATTGCATTCCAGCCTGGGCAACACAGTGAGCTCTGTCTCTTAAAAGAAAATGCTTTGGGAGGCCAAGCAAGAGGATGGCTTGAGGCCAGGAGTTTAAGACCAGCCTGGGAAACATAACAAGACCCTATACCTACCAAAAACAAAAAAAAAATTAAAAATTAGCATGGTGGCCCATGCCTGTAGTCCTAGCTACTATTTAGGAAGCTGAGGCTGGAAGATCACTTGAGCCCAGTAGTTCGAGGTTGTCTGAGCTATGATCATGCCACGGCACTCCAACCTGGATGACAGAGTGAGATCCTGTCTTAAAATAATAATAATTATAAAATTTAATTTAAATTAAAAACAAATTCAGACCTCTGTAAACTCAAAACCTATTTCTTCTTTGTCTAACTATGCTAGAAATCTATCCAAGAAGGGCCAGATAAACAAAGATCTTACTAAGTATAATTTTACTTTTACTCATGTCTTAAATACTACTTATCTGCGCACATAAACCATTACAGCGTTTTTTTAGTCTAATTTTTTTATTGTTGATAGAACATAGACTTTTAGATTTCCTGAATTCTTTATTTTATGAATGTGATTAGTTTCATCATGATGCTGTGCTAATGTTTAAAAACCTAAAGTGTGACATTTCAATTCTATAGGCCTGTGGACTTTCTCCTCGAGACATTACCACTATTAAACTTCTCAATGAAACTAGAGACATGTTGGAAAGGTATGTATACTTCACATAACAGGAAAAATGTGTGCGTATGTTGAATGTACTTGTGACTATTTTTTAGTTTTTCTTGAACAACATAGTCAGTATAATATTATATTAAAATTAAATTTTGGACTGTTCCCCCACCTTTAGACAGCATTTTCTACTCAAACTGGAGGGAAGCAGGGATTTCTTAGGGTGTGACTCAGCTACTAACTCTACTGTCTGAATTCATCGAGTTCTATCTTTTGTTTTTCTAAGTAGGAATGTCGACTTTTTTCCTTATTCAGATTTCCACCACATCATTTCATGAAGCTCTGCAGAAGGTCATCAGAGATCTTTTGCCATTTCCAGTGAATCTGTGATGTTCTTATTTGACCTTTCTCTGATATTTGATACTGTCTTTCTTGAAATTCTTGCTCACATAACTTTCATGACAGTATAATCTAATTTTTCTCCCACCTTTCACATCATTTCTTAGATTTTTCTATCTCTGTCTTCCCTTTAAACATCAGTGTTCCCAACCTGGCGCAGTGTCTCATGCCTGTAATACCAGCACTTTGGGTGGCCGAGGCAGGTAGATTGCTTGAGCTTAGGAGTTCAAGACCATCCTGGGTTTGATGGCAAAACCCCATCTCTTAAACAAAAGAAAAAAAATTAGCCAGGCATCGTGGTGCACACCTGTGGTCCCAGTTACTCAAGAGGCTGAAGTGGAAGGATCACCTGAGCCCTGGCAAGTTGAGGCTGTGGTGAGCCATGATTGCACCACTGCATTCCAGCCTGGGCGACAGAGTAAGATCCTGTCTTAAACAAAACAAAACAAAAAAAGCCATCAGTATTTCCCATGTATTTGTTCTTACTTCATTGGCAACTGCCTCCCAAGCAATGTTTTGTACTCCCATTACTTTAACATGCTAGTAGTTAAAGCCAAATGTATAGCCCTAGTCCTTCACCCTCAGGAGCTTGTCTGGATTGAAATTTCTACATTTCATAGATAGAAATAAAATTTTTTCATTTGCTTAGTTCATTTCTTTCATTGAATGAATGATTCATCAAATATGTATTGGCTGTCTGTGGTATATTAGGTACTGTTCTAAATGCTAGGTCTTCATCCCTCCTGGAATATGTTTGTTAGTGGGAGAGAAAAATAATAAACTAATAAATCTGATATAATGTCAAGTATATGTAACTTTGTTGATGAAGCACAAAGAAGGTTACGGGGTTAGAGAGTGACCAGGGATGCTGTTTGTAATAGGTTGGTCAGAAAAGGCTTCTTTGAGGAGATGTCATTTGAGCAGAAACCTGAATCTACTGTGGAAATGAACCTTATAACCCAGAAGAATACAGTTCAAGGCAGAAGAACAGTTGCAGGAATCCTAACGCTTGGCTTGTTCAAGGAATAGCAAGGAGGCCATTGTTGGCTGGAGCACAGTGAATTAGAAAAGCAATAGGGATGTGAGATTGGAGAGATACATGGCAACTCCAGAATGTGTCAAACTTTGTGGTCCATGATAAGAAATTTTTTTTTTATTCTTAATGTATAGGAAGCCATTGGAGTGTTTTAAGCAGGGCAACGACATCATCTGTGTTTCTGAACAAAGATCTCATTGTTCTATGGTTAGTTGGCTACAAAGAGATAAGAACAGAAGAAGGGAACCAGTTTCAAGAGTTGAAGTAGCCTAATCAAGAGACAGTTGTAGCTTGGATTGGGTGGTAGCCGTGGTGGCAATAAGAAGTGATTAAATAATAGGCTTAAGGTTGAACCAGTAGTACTTGTAGAATTTTTTGATGTGGGTTATGAAAGAGGAGGCAAGGATGACTCCTAGGTATTGAGGCTGAGCATTTGAGGAAATAGGAATTGCCATTTGTATTTTGACAGTATTAAGCATATCCAAGTGGACATGCCTATTGGCAATTGAATACACAAGTCTGGAATTCAAGAGCTAGTTTACAAATATAACTTTTGGAGTCATCACTTTATATATGGCATTTAAAGACATGGGGATAGGAACAGATAGAGACTAGAAGACAACTGAGTCATAGAGCACTCCAACATTTAGAGTTTGGGATTGGGGGAAGAGCCAGTAAAAGAGACTGAGCAGGAGCTGCCAGCAAAAGAAAAGAAACACCAAAAGAATGAGGTATTTTGGAAGACAATTGAAGACAGTGTTTCAAGGAGACTATGATTAATTGGGATGAATGCTTCTGAAAGGCCAAAGGAGATAAAGACAGAGAAATAACATCAGATGTGTCAAGATAGAGTTGTTGAGTGATCTTGTTGAGAAGTTTCAGAGGAGGAGTGGAGATAACCTAACTGAAAAGAATTTGAATTTAGCAGAGACCAAGCATAGACATGTTTCAACATTTTGCTTTAAGAGATTCGAAGAAATAGGATAGTATTTAAGGGGAACGTGGAAGCCAGTATATTTTGATTTTAACATTTTTTTATACACACCTTTCTACTAAACTCCGTGAAATGAGTAATTTTTATCTGTTTAGTTCACCAGTGTATCTTGAGCACTTAGAACAGTGCCCTGCATGGAGTAGATACTCAGTAAGTATTTACTGAATTGATAGGAGAGGCATAAATTGATGTCGGAAAGCAGGATAATTTTAAGAAAAAACAACTTTGAATCAGAGAAAGGAATGAGATTCAATACACAGTAAAATAATTTAGGAGTCAAGGAGGGATGGCTGAGGACAGGTCAGATGCATGTAAGTGGGAAGATGGGTGGGACAAGTATGTGGAAGTTCTCTCTGTTTCTGTTTTTCTGTGTGTGAAATAGGAAGCAAGTTTATCTATTTCTCATTTCTTCATTGGCCTAAATGAATTCATTAAGAAGAATAGAAATCAACATTTTTGAGTGCTTATGCAGCAAGCACTGTTCTATACTGCTTTACCTATCTTAACTCACTCAAACCTTACAGTAACCCTAGGAAGTAGGTACTATGATAATCTTTTCTTCAGTTTCCATTTCTTCAGCTTCCATCTCCTTAATCATTTTTTCTTCTTGGAACCTTACTATATTACCTTTAAAAGAGAACAAGGTTCAGCCTAAATTTACCACGCGAACCAACAATTCCACTCCTAGGTATCTACTTAAGAGAATGAAAACATCTCTAGACAAAAACTTGTTCAGAAATTTCATAGCAGCATTATTCACAGTAGGCAAAAAGTAGACACAATTGAGATTTCTGTTAACTAACAAAAGGATAAAATGTGATGTATTCATGCAATGGAGCCCTATGTAGCAAAAAAAGGGATACAAGCCATTGATACATGCTACAGTATAGAAGAACCTTCAAAACATTATGATAACTGAAAGAAACCAGACACAAAAGACCAAATATTGTATGACTGTTGGTATGAAATGTCCAGAGAACTATACAGACCAAAAGTGATTAGTGGTTACCTGGGGCTAGGAGTGAGATGAGGATTGACTGGAAATGTGCATAACAGGTGATGAAAATGTTTTAAAATTGGATTGTAGCGATAGTTGCACAACTATGCAAATTTACTAATAATCATTGACTTGTACATTTAAAATGGGTGGATTTTATGGCTGCTAAGTCCTACTTCAATAAAGCCATTAAAATGCTTTTAAAAAGAGAGATGACTAAGGAGAAAAGGTAGACACACTTACATGCACACTCTGGTCAAGAAACTTGAATATAACTAGATATTTTGTAGGTTTCATAGCATCATTATATATTGTTCTTTATATTAAAGAGTTTTGTGAGGTACTAAGAGAGTATAATTAAGATCACAGAGCCCTGGTCTCATATTCAAGCTCCCCAATTTACTAATCACATACCTTTTGTCAAGTTTCTCCATCTCTCAAGTATCAATTCCTCATCTGTACACAATAATATTTTCATCTCACTGGATATCATGCTTGAGGATGTAAAGACAATCAATAACCTATGACTGTAAGGAAATTCAAGAGTTTCCTCAAAATTATAGTAGTACTATATTGATTTTTTTAAAAAAATACATTATACAAAGTACTGATTAGTATAAAAAAATCTGGTGAACTGGGTGAAGAGTCTCATTATGTTGTGCTAAATGAGCTCATTTTTAATACTTTTTAAAGATTGACTCCTTGATATATTTTTACAGTATTAGATTGTGACTAGAAATGTTGGTGGCTTTCAAAGGTAGCCACATTATTATTGAATTTGTTTTCTCTTCCATTGAGAATCTAAAAAGTAACTAATACTTCTTATTTTATATAGCCCAGATTTTAGTACAGTTTTGAATACCTGTTTAAACCGAGGTTTTAGTAGACTTCTAGACAATATGGCTGAGTTCTTTCGACCTACTGAACAGGACCTGCAACATGGTAACTCTATGAATAGGTAAGATGACATATAAAAATGTTATACTAATGAATGCTCTTAAAAAATGGTGCTTTCCTTTTCTTTTTGTTTCAGATAACAACAAACCTGGTAAATATGAGTGCCTCATTTTTTAAACAAATTAAACTCTGTTAAACCAACAATGTCTTCATTAGCAGAAGCTAATGTTTGTTTCAGTATTAAAACGTGCATTCTTCCAAAAACATCACTATATTGAAGTACTTAAATTGTGAAATTACCTTTCTATAAGTCGAATTCTAATTATTGGGTTTTTTTTAACTCTTTAAAATATAAAACTGACAATGTACTTAAATTTTAATGCATTATCTAATGTTATTCCATTACTGCATGCCATTTTGGTCTGCACAATTCAATACGTTGATCCTTACAATAACCAGGCATTTTTGGCATAGATCCTCATTTGATTAATTAGCCCCTTATAGTTGTACAACTACTTAAATGTATTTATTTCCAGTCCTTATCGTAGTATTAGAAATATTTAGCTATTGCAATTGTTAGTGATTTTAATTATAACTATTACTAAATCAGGGTTTTATGTATGCCATAACATATCTTACAGTTTTTTAATATCTTTATTATCCCAACATGAGAATCTTTGATCTCATGTTAGAATTTGCATTCTTTAAGGATTTCTGTTTGGCAGTTTTTTTATATCAAACTCAGAAAATAATGGATACTAAATCAATGTTGACTGTAAACTCATTCATTAAAATTTGAGACACATCCATCCTATAGGAAGTGGCTTAAAACAGTTTTTTTAAATTGGGGACACAGTAAATGATAGGCAATATGTATGTGCAATATCCAACTTAATCCTTAAATACAGAGGGCCAGAAGTTATTTACCTAATTCTCTGAGAACCTCCTTTAATTGTACAGAAAACAATAATTTGACATTGACATTGAGCCTTTGGAATGCTTAGAGCCATAAAGTTTATTTTCTGAAGTGATTTAAATCTCACTCTAAAATCTTTTACAAATGTTTTAAGTTATACAAAAATAAATTTTAGCTCAAAACCCATCCCATGTACTGTATAAATCAAGGTGCTCCAATTAGTAAAATTTTACTATAACCTGTACATAGCAAGGTATTCATTATTTCCCAAGTGGTGATACATAATTGTAATGGTTATTTTAACATAAATAAATATTTGATTTTGTACACTGAAGAACAGTAAAAATTATACTACAACCACATCAGCCATGATAGTGTTTCTTTTCTGAACTATAGTACCTATTATCTGCACTTTTATATATAACTTTTACATAACAACACAACATGTGCTACCTCGAGTTGGAGTTTTATTCGTCAGTTACATTTTAAGCATCCTCTCAAAAGTCAAAGACTATCTTGTGCCCTTTCATATTTCTTTACTCACACACGGCACTCAGATATTTTCTATGTTTTTCTATTTCATTTGAATAACCAACTTCATGCTTCACAATTCAATGCTAGAAACATTTCCATCAAGCCTATTATCATCATTGTTTAATATGTTGTGAAAGTTCTAGCCATCATAGTGAGTGAAGAAAAAACAAATGGCTCAGGCATGTAATCCCAGCACCTTGGGAGGTGGAGGCAGGCAGATCGCATGAGCCCGTGAGTTCAAGATCAGCCTGGGACACATAGGGAGAGACCACATCTCTACAAAAAAAATATAAAAATGTAGCTGGGCATGGTAGCACATGGTAGTCCCAGTTAATTGGAAGGCTGAGGTGGGAGAATCGCCTGAGCCCAGGAAGTCAAGGCTGCAATGAGCTGTGATCATGCCACTGCACTTCAGCCTGGGTGAGAGAGTGAGACAAAAAAAAAGACAGAAGTAAGGTTTTTAACTATTGGCAAAGACACAAAGTACATTAGCTATGTTTATTATAATTAATAAGCCAGACCTCTGAAGAGAATCAACTGAAAAATGATGTAAACTAATAAAGGTCTTAATTTATATGTATATAAAATGTATATGCAACATGTATGTATTATATGTATTACATATGCATATAATATAATGTATAATGGATATTTAAAAGTCAAAAGTGCAAATGAAATCCAGAAATACATAGCAATAATAATAGCAGCTAATACTTTTTCCATGTGCTAGTTTGATGATAGGTATTTTTCAGAATGTATCTCATTGAATTCTTAAAATAATCCTAGGAAATATGTACTAGTATTCTTCATTTTCCAGGTGAGGAGACTAAGACACAGAAAAACTAAATAACTTCAAGTTGAACAGCTAGGAAGTGGTAAAGCCAAGTGTTCAATAATGTCTAATATCAGGTAGATTTTTAATTTTTCTCCAAATTTTTAATTATTCTCCAACACTATGATTAATTAAGGTTTAAGAATGTAAGGAGGGTTAAAACTAGAAAAGCTATTTTGGTAATCTGTAACATTAATAAGCTAATAAGATAAAAAACATTGTCTTCCATGTTGCTGAAAAGACTTTCAATAAAACTTAACATTTATTTTGGATAAAACCTCTTACTAGAAATAAAAAAATATGTTTTTATATAATAAATAATATTTGAGTCAGGTGTGATAGCTCACATCTGTAATCCCAATGCTTTAGGAGGCCAAGGCAGGAAGATTGCCTGAGGCTAGGAGTTCAAGACCAGCCTGGGCAACATAGCAAAATCCCCTGTCTCTACAAAAATTTTAAAAACTACCAAGAGGATTGCTTGAACCCTGGAGTTCAAGGCTGCAGTGAGCTATGATCATGCAGTCTGAGTGACAGAACAAGACCTGTCTCTTAAAAATATAAATCAATAAAAAAGAATGTTTGAAATCAAAAGCAAATATACTTCATAGTAAAACTAGAATGATTTCCATTAAATTCAAAAACACTATCAAGATGGTCACTATTGACAGATTATTCAGCATTATTCTGTTATTCTATCTAATATAGTAAGATTGGTCACTATTGGCAGATTATTCAGCATTATTCTGTTATTCTATCTAATATAGTAAGATTGGTCACTATTGGCAGATTATTCAGCATCATTCTATTATTCTATCTAATGTAGTAAGACTAGGAGAAGACCAATTTTGAGATCCAATTCAGGAAAGCTATTGATTTTTTAATATACTTATATCTTGAAAATAGGTAACTTTTACTTTTGGACAGTGAAAAAATAAGGAAAATAGATAATTTACTGAGTATACTTACCATTTGAATAAACTGTTAGTTGACTGTTGGTTTTCTAAGTTAAATTCATGCAATCTTTAAAAATGATATCAATTTTGAAAAGGGAGAAGAAAAAGCTGTTGTTATATGAATGTGACAGACTTAATACTTAGACACTCAAGAGAATCAACTAAAAAGTGTAAAATTAGCTTTCCAAAATTAATCTATAAATATAATCAAAATACTATGAAAATTCTATTGGGGAATGGAGGATGGTTGCCTTTTTCATCTTATACCTGACAAATGATAATAAAGGTAATCTAGAGGAATAATAGAGTGATAGTGTTTAAGCAGTTGTTGGAAAAGAAGAGCAATAAATATGCTTTCCCTGTATAATATGTAATATAAGGTATAATTATTAAAATAATTTTATTCATAAAAGAATAGATAAGTCAGTGGCATAGAATATAAAATCCAGAAGTAACTCTAAAAAAATCTAGGATATTAGTAATGATTGTGGGGAATAGATTTATTCTTAAGTAAATGTTGGTAAGACTAATAACAATTAGTCATTGTACAATGACTAATAAAATTCAGGATGTTTAAACATTTAAATATACCAAGTAAAAACAAATGAACTGATTAAAAACAGGTGAATCTTTACATGACCTCAAGATGGAGAAGGTACTTCTAAGAATGAAACTAAAGAACTTTATATAAAGAAAAGAATAGGTTTGACTGTATAATTTTTTAACTTATAGATCAAATAAGCTTTTATAAGCTTTATCATCAACATTAAATGCAAATATATGGGGGAAGTATTTGCAATATATATATATATATATATATATATATATATATATATCATACATGAGTGTAATGGAATTATATACAGGACTTTTGCACATCAATTAAGGAAGGAAACACCTAAGGAAAGATACGTGTAAAAAACAGAAGAAGTTGGTCATGATGTCAATTAGAGTTGTTACTTCTAAGTGATAGAATTGTGTTTTATTTCCTTTTTAATAGAGTTCCAAAAATATGTTTCAGTGGCTGTGTATTACTTTTATAATTAAGATGTTCAATTCCTGTGAGGTCATTGCAGAAAATAATCATTACTGTGATGATTTTTCAGTCTTTCCAGTGTCAACCTGCCTTTAGCTAAGATAATTCCGATAGTAAATGGACAGATCCATTCAGTTTGCAGTGAAACACCTAGTCATTTTGTTCAGGTAAGAAGAAAGCTTGGGAGTGTTATTAAAAACAAATTGTATTCTTAGTGGTGGTTGTGTTTGTCTAACATAAAGTTACATTCTCTGCTGAGATTTTTTTTTCAAAAAAACACAGAACGTGAAACTACATGTAGAGTGTCCCATGAGAGTGCTAATGAATCATAGCAAATGGGTAAGTTTCAGTGCCTTTCTCCATGTTGTAGTCCAGCACTTGCTGGACTGCATTTTAGTCCAGGTATATTATAGTGGTCAGTTGAATTTATATAGCTTGAATGTTTTGCATTAAGCTGTGCTAGTAAGAAGATGGAGCCTTGAGGCAGATCAAGGATCCAGTTCCACACATTGCAAGGAAAACTAAAAAGATTTGTGGAGAAGTAAGGCATTTTAGTGATTAATAAAATGTAGCTGTTTATAGTGCATCGATAATATGCTCACTAACAGCTGCATAAACAGTGGGTCATTTAAACATTTTATCAGACTACTTATAACTTCATCTTCTTTCTTCATTTCCATTTAGAATGCATTGAGTAATTCAGTAATTCGTCGAGTAATTCAGTAATTCACTAAGACAGATATTATAAACAAAATAACTTTGAATTTCTGAGTCATGTGCAAACTTGGAAACTGTGTTATAAGTTAAAAAATTGTTTGCAGTGCCAAATGCAAACTGCTGTAGTAGTGTACAGTGAGAAGAGACCCTATGGCCTAAGCATAAAGCTGGCATCTTCTTAGTGTAACTTGTCTCAGACAATGCAGTGTATCCTCTCTGTAGACATTTTACTCCTGGGAACATGAAAAGCACTGAGACTGAGTTCTGTTTCTTCCTTTCACTGTGGTGTCATCAGCTTGTCCTTCACATGCACATTTTCCCTCACTGGACTCTTCAGACTTCTGTCATCTTTCTCATCCATAAGAGCTGGCCAATCATATTGCAGAAGAAATAGTGAATAAGGCTGATCTCATTTTACTGAATTTTAAGCTTCACATGTATATCAGTGTGAGAAAAAGGTCATAACTTTGGGCATTTAAACCTAACCTTTACTTTTGTCCTCTTCTGTAGAAGTCCCTGGCTTGGCCAGTAGGATGTTCATTTTGACAGATGAGTGGAAATTATAACCAAGCATAAAACATCATCAGTCTTCATGTTTAAATAATTTTATGCACTACATTTTTATTAAAATCTATATAATAATAAAAAATGTTTCAGTATAGTCAAAACGCCATTGATACTAATTTTTAGTAAAGTGTTTTGGTGTAACTGGATGTATATTAAATGTATATACTAGACCATTGATTGACAAGGCTATTAGAATTATAGTTTAATTTTTTAACTATAATTTCTATGAGTTAAAATACCAAGTGGTCCTCTTATAAATTCTTATATGCTCTACTATTTCCACTTATCTTTTTGTAAAGACTTTGCCTTGATTAGAATGTTAATTTACATAAAATTAATCCTTTTGAATTACTGCGACTACTTCAACTTCAGTGGTATGTAGGAAAGCCTATTGTGGGAATGCTGTAGAACAGGGGTTGGCAGACTCTACAGGGCCAGATAGTACATGTTTTAGGCTTTATGTAACATACACATTCTCTGCGAAAACTACTAAACTCTGCTCTGGCAGTGTGAAAGCAGTCAGAAACATACATGAACAAAAGAGTGTGGCTGTTTCCATAAAACTTATATACAAAAACAGGCAGCAGTGGATTTGGCCTGCAGGCCATACTTCGCTGACCCCTGTGGTAGCAGATACTAGGATGGTAGTATAGTTGGTAAAGTTAGTAAATGGGAAAATCAGAAAACAATTGAGAGAGGCAGTTTTTCAAATTATTTTCAAATAGCTTTCAAATAACATAAGCAGGAGATAAATTATTTTGGATGGCTTTCAGATAACATAAGGAAAAAGCTTTTATGAGTCTGAACCAATCCTGTGATACGTAATTTTTATCTCAGACTACTGAAAACATCCTGGAAGCTTCATCAGGATACAGTATTTGAACAGCCTGAAGTCTTTATTATAAAGCTGATGTAAATTAACTATGACCTATGAGCTAAATCCAGCCAACCACCAGCTTTTGAAAGTTGTATTGGGTGACAGCATGCCCTTGGTTTATGTGTTGTTTATGGCTGCTTTTGCACTACAATGGTAAGGTTTCTCAGATTTGTCCATACACCCCACATATATATATATGCACACATATATGACAGTCCTCCAGGGTTAAAATTATTTTCAGTTTATAAATTAAAAACTCAACAAGCTCCTTAAGATTAGAGCTTTTTTGTAACTCAAAAACCAAAGCACTTAAGTAGAATCTAAACTATGAAAAGCAGATTGTACTATAATATGACTGATGGCTACTATTAATAATTTGTTGTGCCAAAGTGAATGTGGACCTGTCTGCTACTGTCCATGCTGTTGAGCATTCAGCCTGCATTTTCTAAAGCTGACTTGCTAGTATTTTTTTTAATCTACTGTAACTGTTCCAAAAGCTTCATTTGTATCATGTGATTTACATGATTTGGCCTTCATTTGAAAAATTTTCCGCCTCTGTTCTTTTCTCATTAGCACAAGACACTTAAAGCAGTACTATTTAAAACCAATAAGAACATAAACAAATGCCCTAAAATCAGGAACAATAGTAGGTTATATGTTTTATCTTCCAAATAATCCAGAATGTGTTTGAGTTTTATTTTACATGTTCATAGAAATCAAAACACAAATTTTCCCCTCAAATTCTTGGGCCTCTGAAAGCATGTCTGCAAATCCTGGTTTGGGAAACATTGATCTAAACCTATGTTTCATTGAACACTTTGACTGAATACTTTGAAACTAAATAACATCAGATTCTCTGATGAGATTATTTAACCATGTATCGATTGAGATTAGGACATGCCTAAGCCTCACTTGGATTTTCCAATACTTAAGAAACAGAGATCATAAGGGCCAGGTTTACTTCATATTTCTCTGACACTCAGAGACTCTCAACCTTTGCTCTCATGGACCTTTCACAGTGTGGTGAAGCCTGTGGACCCCTTCTCAGAACAAAATTTATAAGTGCATACAATAAAATAGATAATATTATAAAGGAAACCAATTATATATAGTTTTCAAGATTTTATAATTTATGATGTAGCAACATTGCCTCTTTATTCATACGTTCAATCAAGATATAATGAGAGTTCTGATAACTTCCATAACTGTCACATAATATGAAAATGTCTATGATTTCTATTGAAGACAGTCATACAATCTGCTATTGCCTACATTCATAATTGAAAGAGAAATGAAATTTTGGTTAGAAGTTAATTAAAATGAAGATGTGATTTTTTTTCCCTTATCTTTACATTCACAAATCCCTTGGGGTGTTAAGAACCCTTACACTATAGTGTATATGTGTGGTTCATGTATGCGTGTATACATGCTACATATGGACATATCATATGTTAGATCTTCCAGAAAATAATATGCCCTTAACCATGTTATGTCAGCTTCCAGCAAAAGTACCTTTATGCTTATATTTATTCAACAGACACTTATCTAGCACTTAACATACACAAAAACTCATTTGAAGAGTATTTGGGTTTTTTTTTTTCCCCAAAGTCACACTTGAACGCTTATAATACCACCATCCCTCATATAAGAACCTAAATAATAGCTATCTTTTAGAATTTATTACAAGAAAAACTACTCATTTTCTTAAATGGTTTGCTTCTCGGTCTTTACCACAAAACTTAGAGCTGAATTCATTTCTTGATTGCAGAAATTAATTCCAATTATCTATACCTTTTGCAAACTATAATGTTATATTGTCATCTTTGCTAGGATCTGTTGACAATGGAGCAAGTGAAAGACTTTGCTGCTAATGTGTACGAAGCTTTTAGTACCCCTCTACAACTGGAGAAATGATTTTTCCTTCAAGAAAAACTACAGTGGGATTCATTTACTTTTTAAAAAACACTGGGTAAATCACCTATACCTAGAGTAACAATTTGTTATAAAATGCCTGATAAAAATATATTCTTAATAAAAGTCTTCATTTCATAATGAAATCAATTTATTTGGCATCTTAATATATTTTTTTAGATTCATCAACAGACCAGTTTTTGTGGACATATATATGTACACATGTGCAAATATCAGAATTGTTAACAATTTGTTACACATGGACATTAGTTCCAAACTGACTAAACACCAATGTAGATATTTTTATATATATAAAATATGAAATGCCATGTACTTCACCATATTAATACTGAAGAAAAATCTGTTGGGGACATAGGTCTAGGATGTGTGAAGTTTGGAAAAATATGCTATTTAATCATAATTCCCTAGACTGCTGTAAACAGAAGTGAATCAGACTTTTCTACAGCTACCCTTCAAAATAATAAATTATTTGTCTCAAATATACTTTGATGGGGGACTTTTTGCTTCTTATGGAAATCAGTGAATTTCAACAACTATGACGAGCTATTTTTCCTTTGATATTTCTTCACTGTAATTCTTAAGGTTTTATTGATAAGCCTTAGAAAGTTATATATTGATTTAGAGGCTAAAATTGTGTTGATGCTGTTTACTCACCTAATTACATAGTTTTATTCATTTGTATGTACATAATTTTAATAACTTACTTTGTATTGATTTTGAATACAGTGAATATCTTATTGCAATAAACTATTTTAGTAAAATATGGTTTTGTTGAGTTAATATTTTTCAGCTGTTTATCCCATAACATTTTTGTTGTTATTTTGGAAGAGAGAGTGTTCTAGTTTCAGTCATTTTAATTGGTCATGTACTTGGTGCTTTTTTGTTGTTGTTAACTTGTTCATTTAGGAAAAAGCAAACAGCATTACTTTTTGAAAAAGAAATAATTTATTGTTTCTAGTAATACATCTGTAATTCTTCATTTAGAAGGGTAATTAAGGCAAAAGTAAATAAATCATTATATATTATTAGTATGTTGACATATATTTTCAGTGACATTGTTTTATGTTCCTCCAGTGTAACATGCAGCTGAACAGTAGAAGGTAGAAAATAAAGTATGAGGTCTCTTCTAAGGCCTGGTTAGACCTGGAGCTGAATGCTAGGGAGTGTGTGTCTAGAATGTTTTTAAAAATAGGTAGTGGGGCCACAGCCCTCACCATAGACACCTCTGAACCCACTGGCATTGTCTCTGAGAAGAAGATTGCTGTGCCACCCATATATGCTAATCTTGGCAAATCTGCCAAGCATGTCTTTACCAAGGTGTATGGATTTGGCTTAATATAACCTGATTTGAAACAAAATCTGAAAATGGATTGGAATTTACAAGCTCAGGCTCAGCCAACACTGAGACCACCAAAGTGACAGGCAGTCTGGAAAGCAAGTACAGATGTACCAAATATGGCCTGACATTTAGGAAGAAATGGAACACTGACAATACCCTACACACCAAGATTACTATGGAAGATCAGCTTGCACTTGGACTGAAGCTGACCTTCCGTTCATCCTTCTCCCCTAACACTTGGGGAAAAAAATGCTAAAATCAAGACAGGCTGCAAGTGGGAGCATATTTTAACCTGGGCTACGACGTGGATTTGAACATGGCTAGGCCTTCAGCCTGAAGCGCTCTAAGTGCTGGGTTATGAGAGTTGGCTGGCCAGCTATCAGGTGAATTTTGAGACCACAAAGTTCTGAGTGACCCAGAGTAACTTTGTGGTTGGCTACAAAACTGATGAATTCCAACCTCACACTAATGTGAATGGAGGGACAGAGTTTGGCGGCTCCATTTACCAGAAGCTGAGCAAGAAGTTGGAGACTGCTGTCAGTCTCGCTGGGACAGTAGGAAACAGTAACACTCACTTTGGAATAGCAGCCAAGTATCAGATCGGCCTTGAAGCCCATTTCTCCACTAAAATAACAACTCCAGCCCGATAGGTTTAGGATACACTCAAACCCTAAAGCCAGGTATCAGCTGACACTGTCAGTTTCTCCTGGGTGGCAAGAACGTCAAGTGCTGATGGTCACAAGGTTTGTCTAGGACTGGAATTTCAAGCATAAACGAATGCTGTTGAATTGTTTAAATTATTTTGCAGCATAGTTACCTTCAGAATTTAATGTATGTTTTAATGTTGTATGTCTGGGATGCAAGTACTGCTGAATGTCATGTTGGACCTCCAGGTTAAAGATGATTCAGCTTTAAGGTGTTTCAGAGGCACAGAAGAAACCCAGTTCCAAAAAGGTCCTTTCAGTGGTAGACTTGGGGAACTTGGCGGCCCCTGTAGAGATGTCAGGTTTCTTTTTTATCTAGAAATGGCTGCAAGTGGAAGCTGATAATGTACAGGCACCCTGTAAATTCATATTGAGTAAATGAATGAAAGTATGAGTTCCTGAGAACTGAACCTCAGTTTCCTAACCCTGGTTGATGAGAGGCTCATCGGTTGGTGGTGTGTACAAATTTCCCAAAAAGGGACTCTATACAGATCATTATGACCTGTTCCCACCCCAGTTCTTCATCATCTCTTTTACACCAAAAGATCTACAGGGTGTGGTCACTGGTTTTTTGTGCTATTTTGGGGGTGGAGAGGGTGGATGTGATGAAGCCAATAATTTTGGACTTAATTCCTTCCTGAGTTGTGGTTTTTTTTGTCCTTCCCCCAGAGTATAACATAGCTTCCAGGAGCTCCAGCTATAAGCTTGGAAGAGTCTGTGTGATTGTAATCACAGGGTGACAACACTCAGAATCTAAACTGGACTTAATGTAGTATTCTCAGCACTCAATTTATTTTTTAGCAGTTTAATGGGTACATTTTAGAGTCTTCCATTTTGTATGGAATTAGATCCTCCCCTTCAAATGCTGTAATTGAAAAAAAAACTTGAACAAAATATTGAAACCTTAAAAAAAATAATAGGTAATGGTCCAGCCTGGGCAACATGGTGAAACCCTGTCTCTACAAAAAAATTAGCCAAGCATAGTGGTGTGTGCCTATAGTCCCAGCTACTTGTGGGGATGAGGTGGGAGAAGCGATTGAGCCCAGTAAGGCTGCAGTGAGCTATGATTGTACCACTGCACTCTAGCCTGAGTGACAGAGTGAGACCCTGTCTAAAAAAAAAAAAAAAAAGAGGAGGGAAAATGCTTATTTTCAAAAGTTGACAAAATATGGAGATATTCTCATTTTTAATAGGGTAAATGAAAAGTAGCATTTTGGGAAGGTAAGGAATGTGTGTGTAATGGGCACACATCTCTTCCAACAAAATTAACCCAGGATTTCATCCAGGGAAAATGTGAAACTAAACAGGTGTGGCCTTGTAAGGATATAAATTTGATCAGCTGAAAATTATGATCTGGAATCATATGCATCTGTATAATTGTGGCAGTGGAAGAGATGACAAGGTAAAAAGCACATGTATTTAAAGCTACTTGGGAAGCTGAGGCAGAATTGCTTGAACCCGGGAGGTGGAGGTTGCAGTGAACTGAGATCATACCACTGTACTTCAGCCTGGATGATAGAGCAAGATTCTGTCCCAAAAGAATAAATAAGTAAATATAAAAATAAGGTCAATTGGTCTTAGAGAGTACAAATCTGCCTCCTGATAGTATAGCAGGAGCCCCCTCATCAGAAACCTTTAGTTGTTTGGTTAATCTAAAAAGTTAATCTAAAAAGGGTGTCATAAATACATATATAGACATTTTAACTTTATTCTTTATTTGTCACTTATTTACTATAGGATCCAGGTTTTTTCAACTTTTTAGTGTAGGTCTACTCAGTTGGGCTGTTGGTGATATAGTAGCATTGCATAGCTGCCTTCCCATAGAGGTCTGCTGACAAATGTTTTCTATTGTCTTTCTTGAATTCCTGGCCTCAAGATCCTCCCACCTCAGCCTCTTAAGTAGCTGGGATTACAAGCTGGAGCTACTGCACGGCTCTAATTATCTTTCTTGTACAAATTACATGCATTACATTATATAAGTGTGAACCAGAGGTGCAGAATTTTTGAAAATTCTTACTATATTTTCCTCCAATCTTTTAGAACAGTTTCACCCACGATTAACCAATAGCTTATTTTCTTTTTTTTAATTTTTAAAGTCATCAAACTTTAGTCTTTCCAAAGTATTTACCTTGGCTTTCACAAAAACTACAACTCTTCACACTTGCATCACTGGCTTATAGAATCATCATAAAAAGTTCAACTGGCATAATCAATTTGTTTGGTAACTGTTATAGTTTCCTAGAGCTGCTGTAACGCATTACCACTCAGTAAGTGGCTTAAATTTATTCTCTCACACTTCTGGTGGCTAGAAATCCAAAATCAAGGTGTCAGCAGGCCCATGCTCCCTCTGAAAACTCTATGGAAGATCTTTCCAGTACTTCTTGCCTCTTCCAGTTTGTGGTGGCCCCATAAATTCCTTGGCTTACAGCAGCGTAACTCCAGTATCTGCCTAGTCATCACATGGGCCTTCTGTCTCTGTGTCTTTTTCTGTCATTTATAAGGATACTCTCATTGGATTGAGAACCTACCTATATCCAATATGACCTTATCTAATACTTACCTATTACATCTGCAAAGACACAACTTTCAAGTGAGAACACATTTCGAGGTTCCAGGTGGACATAAATTGTTGGGGACATTCCAAGGGACATAAACTATTTGACTCACTACAGTCACAAACTCAGGCAGCCTTTGACAAACATACATTGCAGCCAATGGGAATGGAAAACACACCCTGAGTAGCTTAAACAACTGAAATTTATTTTCTCACAGTTCTGGAAGCTGAAAATCCAAGATTAAGGGGTCAGCAGATTTGATTTCTTCAGACTTCTTGACTTGCAGATGGTGCCGTCTCGCTGTCTTTATATGGCCTTTCCTCTGTGCACTTGTTTCCCTGGTGTGTCTTCCCCTTCCTATAAGGACATCAGTCCTATTGGCTTTAGATTCCCCCCACTTCTGACCTCACTTAACCTTAGTTACCTCTTTAAAGGCCCTATTTCCTAATACAGCCACATACCACATAACCACTTTTCACTCAATAGTTGACTGCATATAAATTGGTGGTGCCATGCGATTATAATGGAGCTAAAAACTCCTATCACCTAGTGACGTTATAGCCATCATAAGGCAGCACAACACGTTGATCATGTTGTTTATGGTGATGCTGGTGTAAATAAACCTACTGTGCTGCCAGTCATATAAAAATCTAGCACATAAAGTGATGTAAGGTACACAATACTTGATAATGAACAGCTGAGTTACTGGGTTATGTATTGCTATACTATACATTTCGTCATTATTTTAGAGTGTACTCCTACTTAAAAAAAAAGTTAACTGAGAAACAATGTAAGTCATGTCGATCAGGAGATATTTTAGAAGGAGTTGTTATAGGAGATGACAGCTCCATGGGTATTTTCCCCTGAAAAGCTTCTAAGCAGGACAAGATGTAGAGGTGGAAGGCAGTGACATTGATAATCCTGACCCTGTTTAGGCCTAAGCTAATGTGTATGTTTCTGTAAAAGTAAAAATTAAAAATTTTTAAAGTAGAAAAAAGCTTATAGAATAAGAATATAAAGAAAATATTTTTGTACATTTGCACAATGAGATTATGTTATAAGCCAAGTGTTATTACAAAAGAGTCAGAAAGGTTTTAAAACCTTAAAAGTTTATAAAGTTACAGTAAGATTACATCAATTGTTGAAGAAAAACATTTTTTATAAACGTAGTGTAACAGTATTTTAAAGTCTATGGTAGTGTTTAATAACAATCACTCACCAGTCACTCACTGACTCACCCAGAGCAACTTCCAGTTCTGTAAGCTCCATTCGTGCTAAGTGCCCTACACAGGTGCACCATTGTTTACGGTATTTTCACTGTGCCTTCTCTATGTTTCCATATGTTAGATACTCAAATACCATTGTGTTACAATTACCTACAGTATTCAGTAACATGCTGTATATGTCTGTAGCATAAAGCCATAGTCTATATAGCATACAGATTACGTGTGTAGTAGGCTATGCTATCTAGGTTTGTGTAAATACACTCTATGATGTTGGCACAACAACAACAAAGAATTGACTAGCATTGTGTTTCCCTGAAAATATCCCCATCGTTAAATGACTCATAACTGTACAGTCATGTTGGGGGTGATGGCTTCAACATAAAATTTTCAGTTCAGCCCACAGTACGACCAATTCCGAGCTACTCTAACATGAAGAAATTCTCACCTCTGAGTCATACATGGAAACAGCAATGTGAAGAGACTTTAATGGCAAAGTACACTGGAGAGTTAAAATGGTTACATTAATTTAGCAGGGACAAGGGAAAAGGCTGAATTGCCAAAATAATTACTTTGTTTTTCTTATCCAATTATACATTTGCTTTCTTCATGTCCTACAATTATAGACACCTGATAGTTCCTAGTCTTAGACACAACTGCAGCATCAGCCACTCTGCTACACTTTAGATCACATTAGTTAATGCTAGAGCCCACCCCCATTTACAAGGCATCTGAGGAAAGGTTAGCTGTGGCAGTTCTACCATAATGCCATTTTGCCCCAAAGAAATCCAGTTAAGTGGCTGTCCATGGCCCAGTAGTTTCACCTGAAATTAAAAACATACATGCAAATGTCTCCAAATTTCTCTCTCTCTCACCCACTTTCTGTTGGGAAGGAGTGATTAGTAATTCTGAAAAAAATAACTGAGGCCAGAGATTCATTTTTACCTTTATTTAGTGATTCACAATCACTCTTCATCTAATTGAGTATGTGTATCTTGCCTCTATATTCTTGCTTCTGTTTTACTCTCAAGAGGTAAATAAGAGTGTGCAGGGGTTGAGGGAGGAGAATTTTAAAGACTGAACAGAGTGTCAGAGTGGAGACAATGCTGAAGAGAGGATCAGGAGCAGAAAATGACTCTGAAACCAGCCTGCCCAAGTAAGTCCTATCTAGTCAGTGTTCCTTCCCCAGATTTTCTAATAACTTCCACTATCAACAATATACAAATTTGATCAATTATTACTGTAATTATTTTATATCCTTAGTCTGAGTATACTAAGCAAATTCAAATAAGTTCTCTACATAGTCTAGGCTTATTTTGAAACAAAAATTTTGCTTCTCAGGTGGATCAATTCAAAAATAAAACACATGGGCTTTTAAATAATAATGTTAATTGGCACCAAAAAGAACATAAATAAAATAAAAATATAAACAATATCATATCTGGGCTACTAAGCTATAATTAAGCATTAGATTTGAACTCATGTCCTTTCTGCCTCATCAACCACACATTAGAAATGAAACGCAGAAAGGTGATGCAAAGAGAACCATATGGACAATTACCCTCCAAAGGGATAATGTATTTTAAAAAATAAGCTGTAAAATATATCAGCATGAACTCAATGCCAGATCTGGTGGTTACAACAGTTAAATTAATCTCTAACTTTCTCCAAAATGTTTTATAACCATAAAATAGTAGAGTCATGATGTCTTGTATTCAGATATGTTCTGGAGTAGGGTGTCAGGGAAAGCATCTAAATTCCAGTTTTGTGAGAAGAATCATTTTGGATACGTGCAATGAACTTAAACAACATAGAATGACTGTGAAGAATAATGTCTATTTTACAGTGTTATGCATAGAGATACTGTAGCTGTTTCATCAGCTTAGTTTTCTGGGAAACCAAAAGTTTCAAAGGTTTTGGCCAAACACTCTCATTGGTGAAATTCATTTGATTTTATTTTATTGCTTTGTTTGATTTTTTCCAGAGACAGACTGAAGTGAAGTGGTGCAATCATAGCTCACTATAGTCTTGATGTACTGGGCTCACACAATCCTCCTGCCTCAACCTCCTGAGCAGGTAGGACTACAGGTGCATGCCACCATACTCAGCTTACTTAAAAAAAAATTTTGTAGAGAGGGGTCTCGCTATATTGCCCAGGCTAGTCTCAGACACCTGGCCTCAAGACATCCACCTGCCTCAGCCTCCCAAAGTGCTAGAATTACAGTGTGAGTACAATGCTTGGCTGGAGCTCATTTTGAAACTACATTTATGAGGTATAAGAGGAACAGACATAAGGCTCCCCTTAAAGTTAAAAGTTATGTTTGCATCAAGGTGTTCTAATCAGCAATTTAAAGGAGAAAGGTAAAATTCCCTCTTACCTGTGTTGCCCCTAGAATAGTTTTGGGCTGGCCAAGGAACAGCTGTCCTGATGTGGGCCATTTAAGAAAAAGGGCATAGACCAATTTTTCTTTAGGCTTGGATGTGTACCTGGTTAAAAGAAAAAAAAAAGCATAGTAACAAGTTACATCCCATGTTTCTCATTATTTGTGGATCAGGAACAATCTGGAATTATTTTACAGAGATACTTCTATTTAGCACCTATTTACCAATGTTGCCATTAATAGAAGGGAAGGAAAAATAGCCCCATGCTAGTATAAAAAGCATCTTCCTCCCACAAGACCAAAAGGAAGTTCTTGAAAGACAAAGATTTTCTTGGGCTAGCATTCCTTTTCATCATCAGACTGCTCTCGTGGAGCTGAAAAGGGGAGGGAGATAAGCTAAGGGGGTAGGATGCAAGAGCTTCATGGCTTTTCATATGTTGTTCAAACGTTTATATTCATTCATTCATTCAATAAGACAAGAAATGCATGTGTCAGTTCTGTGCCTAGTCCTGTGCTCAGTATTAAGAGTTACAGTAGAAAACAAAACACACATAGTTCTTGTGCTTATGGAACTAGAGTGGGCAGACAGTAAAGGCAGAGACTAAAAAATCACACAAATAATAAGAAAGTGTGAGTTCTGTTAAGCACTATGAAAGAAAAGGAAATTGAGAGATTATAACAAAAGGATTTCTTTAGATTAGAACATCAGAAAGAAGCCTCTCTAAGAACATGACATTTAATCTGAGACTTAGAGGATGAATGAGAACAAAAAAGAAGGTAAGGGAAGTATGCCTTAGACAAAGAAAATGGAATTCATTCATGTATTTATTCAACTACTCAACAAATACTTACTGAAATCTTGAAATGCTAGAGCTATTTGCAACATTGAACAAAGTCCTTGTCCTCATGGGGCTTACATTCTAGTGGGAGAAATTAGAGTGAACAAATATGCAGGTGATAATTAAATTCTATGGAGAAAACAAGCCAGGTACGAAGGACAGGGCATGCTAGGTAGGAACAGAGAGGACTGGGAGTGTTATTTCAAGTGGAATACTCAGGGAAGACCTCTTAAAGGTGGCATGGAAGAGAGCCATGGGAGCACCATGGGAGGTACACGGGAGAGTCTGGAGAAAGCCTTCCAGCCAGAACGGCAAGTACAGGAGCCCCAGTGCAAGAGTGTGCTTAGCCTGTTGATACAACAGCAAGGAAGGCAGAGTGGCTGAAGGAGAGGAAATAGGAGAGGGTGATGGCAGATAAGATCCGAAAGGCAATAAGGAGCCAGATTTGATAAGCCCTTGTAAGCATCTATGGGACACAGCCTTTTCTCTGAGACTGGAAGCCACTGGAGAAATGTGAGCATGGAAGTGGCATTATTATTTAAAAGTTTACTCTGATAGCTTTGTGGTGAATAGGTTAAAGGGTAGAAATAGAAACCTGTTAAGAAGCTACTGAAATAATCCAGGCAGGGGCGAGACAATGGAAACTAAAAGGATGAGGATTGCCACAGAGAGGATGAGAAGTGGTCAGTCAGATTCTGAACATTTCCAAGATAAAGAGGATGGTATCTGCTGATGGGTTGGCTGTGACTATACAAGAAAGGGAAACTAAGGGCTTTAAGGTTTTGGGCCTGACAGCCACTTAAAGGATGAAGCTGCCATTAACTGAGATGGAGAAGACCATGAGTGGAGCTAGTTTACAGCAAAATTTTAAAACTCAGTACTTCAGTTGTGGACATACAGGTCTAAGATACTATGCATCCAAGTGGAAATGTTGAGTAGGATGTTAATGAGGCTGGAGTTCAGAAGAGTTCTGCACTGGAAATAGAAATGTGGCATTGAGGTCATCAATATGGCATTTAAAGCCATGAAAATGGGTATATCTCCTGGGACATTCAGATAAATAGAGAAGAATAGAAGTCCAAAGTCTAAACCTCAGGGCACTTCAAGATTTAGAGGTTGGAAAATGAGATGAAATCAGCAAAGGAACTAAGAAGGAAGACACAACAGGTATGACGAACACCAGGAGAGATAGTTATCAACTGAGGTAGGTGCTGCCAGTGTGTTGAGAAAAAGAGCACTGGGGACTCATCACTGGATTTGGCAAGGCAGAGGTTACTGTGGCCTTGAGAAGAGTAATTCTGTGGAGTGTGAGGATGGAAGCTCAACCACAGTGGGTTCCAAAGACAAACAGGAAAACTGTAGCAATGAACTGGAGATAGCACGAAAACAATTCTTTCAAGATGTTTTACCACAAAGGAAAGAAGAGAAATAGGAAGGTAGTTAGAAATGCAAGTGAAATTGAGTAAAAAAGGAGAATTGTTTTAACAATCCTTGGGTGGATGATTTGCAATGGGATCAGGACACAAGGGTTGACCTTAAAGCCAAAAGTGAGGTAATTTTACATGTGTGTCTGTCTAGGGTGTGTGTGTGTGTGTGTTTCTATAGTTACAGTTTGCTGTCATGGAATAAGTATATCTGAATTTAAAGTTGATGTTCCGTCAAGTGAGTATGGCAGAAGGGAGAGAGGGTTCAGGAATTGGGTGTATGCAATAGATTGGTTACAGTGACAGGCCACAGAATCTGACCTGGATAAGGAAAAAGAGGGACAGAGAAAAGATGATAGGATAAAAAGATAGTATGATCACTGGATTATAGATCCCTTTGGAGGCCACAGTGTTGTGTGGAGTGAGCCAAAGCAGAAGTGATAGGTAGATGGCAGAATGCTTCAAACTAGAGCCATGGAAGGGGTACAGTTATTGGTAATGCAAAGTCTAAAGTGTGATTATAGAAGAAAGGGAAATTAAGGACACCAAGGTTTTTGACCTGACAACCACCTAAAGGATAGAGCTGCCATTTACTGAGGTGGGGAAGACCGGGGGTGGAGCTAGTCTACAGCAAAATTTTAAAACTCAGGACTTCAGTAGTGGACATACAGGTTTAAGATGCTATACATCCAAGTGGAAATGTTGAGTAGGAAGTTCGACTTTCTGTTACCAACATGACCCTGTGTATTGGACATGCAAAGGAGCAGGTAACAAAGGTCAAGTGGACAAGATCCCTAGAAGACAGGAGGGACAGATAATTAGAACTGTGAATAGAAATTAAAATCACTAAGAATTATGTGAAGAGTAGTTCTGGGGACAGGATGGGTAGTCAGGGCTACACTCTCAAAGGATTTTAAGGGTTCACCTGGGAGTCTGTAGGTGACTGCAAGAAGGTGGGCACGATGAACCTGATGGGGAAGAAGGCTCCTATGGTGAGGAGGGAGAGTAGGAATTGGGGAAGTTGATGGGAGCCAGACTCGCAGCTTTATAATCCACATTAAATATTTAGTTTTTATGTTTATTTATTGAAATAAACACAATAGAATGATGGTTAATGACTGTGAAGTCCCAGACCAGATACCCTTGTATTCAAATGTAAGCACAGAAGCAAGTTCCAAAACCAGATTTGCACTATCCTCTATCACATGGCAGATTGATACTGAGTTCTCACTGTGGCTTCTCCCAGATCAACATTTTTAAATTCCACAATTATTTGCTCTGTCCAGATTGCCCTACTTTCATTTTATTCAATGGGTTGATAATGTTTTAAGTCATAAGTCAAATAGACTGAAGAACATTTAGTCTAATCTTTTCATTTCTATTTAATCAGGCAGTAATCAGGGGCCAACCAAAGGTGAATTTTTACAACTTCGCCAATACTACTCTTATTTTATATATGTCATATTTGTGTCTGAATCAGATAATCATTGACACACAGAAACTTTTCAATCTCAGAGAGAAGCATTGTCCCAGAAACCTCCCTATTTTGACTCATTTTTAACCTAACATTTTCTCTGCCATGGGGTACCTCTTGTTTGCTAATTTCATGGGATGCAACATCTGCAAAAGTCAGAATTTACAGAACTAAATAAATAGTAGTCTTTTAGACTAAGCATTCAGCAGTTTTTTTTGGCCTAAATGGCTTACAATTTTTCTAAGAGCTGACTACTTTCAGCCAAAATTTGTCCACCAGTAGGAGATACATAGAGATGATGTAAGCTTAATTTGGTAAACAATAAATGTTCAAAACATGCAAATTCTTCCCCTTATCTTTATATTAGAGTAAGCAAAGTTTGGAAAGTGCTTTATATACTTAGGAATTAATCCAATTTTTATTTTTAACCTACTCTTCTTTGTATGTCTGATAAAATTTAAATCTCTCCCTTTATAAAAGAGACTTGGTAACAAGAATGACTTACCACACATCTGGGGTGACAGTGTCATTCTGGGATCGCCAAGTATGGGTTTCATAAATAGCTTCTCCATTGACTCTTAGCCAGGACCCCATTTGCCTCAGTCGCTCCTCAAAAACTACAGAAATGGTGCCATCTAGTGTGGGCCCAATATTCATCAAAAGATTTCCTCCACATGAAACCGTTTCTACAAGTTGCTAAAAAATTAAGAATGTTTTAGATAAATAAAATAATTACGTCTTTAATGTGTTAATATGTTGCATTTATATATTTATACATGTATATTTAGTCACTGCCTAGAAGAACAAATGCAGGATAGAACAGCGTCCTACATTGATAGGCCATTGAGCTATATAAATTATAAGAAATAATTCCTACATGACCACACTATTAAGACTGTTATGTTAATGGCCACCAGACATTTTACTGTACCTTCACCAATTCTTCAATTGTAAGATAGTCAGAGATTCCAGCATCCCTCCTGTAGCCCCAGGACAGCTTGTCTATTGTCATGCAGTTTTCCCATTTATGTGGCAAAAGATGTCCTGGGTTATAACGATCACTGCAGGTATAGAAGCCACCATGCTTACAGATGCTACCAGCTCCCCAACGATCATTGGTGACTACTGTGTCCCGAACTGGGCTGAAATAAAACATACAATTTTTTAAAACAAAAGGTATAAGCTTTTTATACAAAAAAAAAATGCCACCAAAAAGATATCTAATTGAAATACATTTCTAACAAGGGACCATGGCATAGTACAATGAAAAGCCCATGGTTTTGAAGTCAAACAGAACTGGGTTAATTGGAGTTCTGGCTTTGTCACTTTCTAGCTCCCAGACCTAGAGCAAGTTACCTGGCTCCTCTGAATAATGAATTTCCTCATCTATGATTAGAACAAAAATAAGTTATGTAAAACATTTAGCCTAGTACCCAGCACATACAGCACTCATAAGATTATTATGATTATTTTAACCTCCCTTCCATATCATAAATGGTAGCCAAAACTGAATTTATACCCAAGACACTTTTCTTTCCAGTGATTCAATGATCTCATACATGTAGTCTAGACTTTCTCTTTCTCTTACAATTGTGCCTAATGTTGAAAAACCTCAGAAAATTTGTTGATGTTACGTGAAACATCCCCACATTATTTATCATAGCAGGTGGTATAGTTAGAGGGAAATCCACGCCACATAGAGAGGACAGTTTTGAGTCACAAATTGAAGTGATGGCTCCCAGTCTTTTCCCTTGGAAGGAGTACCTGGACACATTGCTGTTTTGATATAAAGGGTTCTTCAGAATATTTGTATCTGTACCCTGTGTGGGCCCAGGAAGTGCAAGCAGAAGGCTTCCTGACTTCATAGCACAGTACCCAGTGCTTTCTAGTGTACATGCAAATTTGGTCCATATAGTTTAAGCTAATGGAGGAGTTTAATCAGAACTCCCTGTTCTAATAGGGCAGCCTTGAACATAACAGCAAGCAATTGGAAAAAGCTGGAGAAATTGAAAACGCTGCTGATGAAGGGAAAGAGAAGACAGACAAGGGTGACGCTGACTGGGCAGCAAAGCTGACCAAAAGGTAAGAGGATAAAAAGAAGCGGTCAAAGGGATTCAGAAGCACATTATCAGAAATAGGGATGAATAAACAGAGTTGTCTCAGAATAGAGGCCATCAAGGACCAGAGTAGGAGAGAAAATGGGGGGATCCACAACATTAACACCTTCGCAGTTCTTGGTCCTGTGATTTTTAGTCTGATCTCAAAGTCAGACCATTGAGTTCGATTTTACTCCTGATTTGTTTACTCTTGATTATGTTGAGTAAATAGTAACCTAGCTAATACGTATTATTTACAATGATTTACTTCCCCCATACCACCAATGACTTAAAAGGAAATATTTTAAGAAGTGAAGGTATTAAAGTATTGGAAATATATTAGGAATGTGGAGAGTAATGGCAGCGATCTCATAGCATACATACCTTTCATTATATAGCCAGGCCAGGAAGCCTGTGCTGTTCCAGTATTGATCCGGTGCTCCTCCGTCACCATCCGACCACAGAATCTCGGGCTGATAGGCGTTCACTAACTCATAGAGCTCTGGCAATGTCTTAGAAACGGGAAATTGCCGCTTATGGAATGAACTGGATTCATCCTCAAGGAAGAGTGGATGAAACCATTCAAAAAGGGAATAGTACAGTCCGAAACGCAGGTCAGTTCTGTTCCTAATGGCTACCTCAAGTTCCTTGACAATGTCCCTCTTGGGACCCTCATCTATGGCATTCCAGTTCCACGAATACTCTGAACCCCACAAGGTAAAGCCTAGAAAATTATAGTGAAAGCCCTTGTAAGCATGTCAACTTTATTTTAGTAAATTTCAACCCACACAAATGCCAAAACAAGTCACATAGTACATGTGATACATAAATACCTGCTCCTACAAATGACTGTTTTATGGAAACTTTTTCATGGCATATATGGTGCTTTTATATGAGAATTTAGAATTTAAACAAGGTGAGATCAAGGTTTTCAAAAGCAACTTTCAGGGTACATCATTGTACCCCAAAAGTTAGATGGTCGTATGGTCTGATTGATCTCCAGTATTTTCCCTCTTAGATTTTAAAGTCCTTGAGGATAGCATCATGTCTGAAGTGCTCCCTGCTCTGCCTTTAACCAACTGCTAGCACCAGCTATAGCACAAAATAAACAATCAACAATAGCAGCTCACAACTAAGATGGGAACATATACGTGTACCACGCTGAATGATGACTACTACTGTGTATTACGAAGATCCTGAGATGCACTCCTGCAAGATTCTTAGTGTCTTCTAAACCAAAGCTTGAATTCTACTGCTTAGTTTTAGGATTGTTCATTTTATTACAGTGTGATTCTTAGAACACTGGTGATCCCTGCAGAGCAAATCTCTTTTAGCTTGATTATTCACTTAAGCAGAGGAGCAAAAAAACCACTATTTCCCAATGGTTCTATACTTTAAAATACACTCACCACGTGTAACTCATTCTACTATAAAGTCATAAGCTTGGAGGTTCCTCTTTGATAAAATTACCCAAAAGTGAATAGTCTACCAACTACATAGATATGAAAAATAATGTATACCTTTATGCAACACTTAGAAGTGATTCATTTTTAACAGGAATTTGCATTTAGATTGCTGGTTGTTCTACATAAAATGTTAGAAGAGATAAACTGAAATGCTTAAAATATAATAAATATGAAAGCCTCAAAAATTTCATTAGTGCCTAGAGACTTAAGTACGTTGTTACTATTCCACTAAGATCTAAAAGAATCTTTCAGAACAGACATTTATCATACATTTGGTGAAACATTTTACTCTTGGTAAATTAGAACAAGTTTAAGATTGACTCACACTTTTGATTTTTTTTTTTTTTTTTTTTTTTTTTTTTTTTTTTTTTGAGACAGGTTCCGGCTCTTTCACCTGGGCTGGAGTTCAGTGGTACAACCTTGGCTCACTGCATCCTCGACCTCCTGGGCCCAAGTGTTCCTCCCACCTCAGCCTTCCAAGTAGCTAGGACTACAGGTGTGCTCCACCATACCCAGCTAATTTTGTGTATTTTTTCAGACACGTTCTCACTTTGCTGCCTAGGTTAGTCTCAAACTCCTGGCCTCAAGCAGTTCTCCTTCCTTGGGCTCCCAAAGTGTTGGGATTATAGAAGGGAGCCACTGCACCTGGCCTTAGATTCATTTAAATAAGCTTTTTAAAACAGCTCACTCTTCTTCCTATCATGTCTGTGGTAAGCTTCAGAGCAGTGTCAATATCTAAAGTCATATTCAAAATTTTTCAAATTGACAGGCCCTAATGTCAGACAGTACTAAAACCACATGGGTCTTCATTTTAATATCACCACCAGAAGCTCACACAGTGATTATCCTTCCTGAGCTTAGCATGCATTTTCCATAAGCAATGAAAACATCTGACAGCATGGGTCCTAGAAAATGTATAAATGTGGGCTACTTCATCTGTCCTCACAGTTTGATTATGAATTTTTATTAAATAAACTCACTATGTAATACATTGTGCCATACAGCTTGGGAAAGTTCTTAGACATCAGGAAATCAGCATGTTCTCAAGCAAATACACTTTACAGATATCCATCTCAGCAGGAGAAACATCTAAAGGAGAAAAGCATGAAGCTACCAGAATGTGGCCAAAGGGAAAAATATCCTCTGATAATTCCAGAATTTTTGCTTCAGTTCTCCTCTCCTATTCCCATCCCATCCCTGGAGAAAATAATAAAGCAAAATTTCTTTCTTTTCTTTTCTTTTCTTTTTTTTTTTCTTTTTTGCGACAAGATCTCCCTCTGCTGCCTAAACTGGAGTGTAGTTGCCCTATCTCCACTCATTGCAGCTTCAATCACCCAGACTCAAGCAGTCCTCCCACCTATGCCTCCCAAGTAGCTGGGACTCCGGAGACATGTCACCATGCTAATTCTTTAGGGTGTGTGTGTGTGTGTGTGTGTGTGTGTGTGTGTGTGTGTGTAGAGATAAGGTCTCACTATGTTGCCCAGGCTGATCTCAAACCCCTGGGCTCAAATGATCCTCCTTCCTTGACCTCCCAAAGTTTTGGGATTGCAGGCATGAGTGACCACATCCAGTGCAAATTTTTTTTATACCAAAGCAAAAATGATCATGCAAAAGAAACTGATAAATTAACAAGCAGTTGGAACAAAAACAATTTGTTAATGCTTCCTTGGCCTTACGAATATTGGAATGGCAGTGGGTGGAATATATTCTATTAAAATAGGACTACTGTGGGGTTTTTTAGGTATTCTTCCACCACCTCAGATTTTTCTGGGAACCATTACAGTTCCACAGTCCTTTTCCATCTGAGTGATCTTGGTCACTTTCATCACTATCAATTCATCCACTATTTGCACCATTTGGCTAAGAGTTGGCTAAAAGGGCAGCGAGGTGCATCGTAATGATGCAAGACTATAGCAGCATAACCTCCATGATGCATTCACAGGATGCATTGCAGAGAAAGGGAAGGAAAGAGTGCAATGCCAATGATGAATTTTGACTTACAACTCACACTCCCTTCAACAAACAGCTTTAAGGAAATCTTGGAAATATTGTTCAATATACATGTAACAAAATGTGACCATCTTTCCTCTGTTATGTGGAGGGGTTCTTTCTGTATTCATAATATCTCTCAATTTGGTTGAATGTGCAATCTCTAAGTTATAAGAAAGTGTCAGTCACCACTCATGGTTGCTCCTAAGAGAAAATTAGACCTTGCTTTAGTTTTTTCTTCCAAAATAACAACTTTTCGTTTCTTAACAATTGTCAGCAATTTGCATACGCTGGATTGACTTACCTTCGTGATGTTTTGAAGTTAAGACAATGTATTTGGCACCAGAGGCCTGAAAAATATCTGCCCACTGGTTGGCATTAAAAAATTTTGCTGTAAATAGTGGTCCAAAATCTTCATATTTGAAACTAGGAGGGTAATTATCTTTCATGAATTCCACATACTTCAGTATCTTTTCCTTTTGCCAATACCACCTAAGGGGAGGAAAGGAAAGGGCGTATAAACAGCACATACACACACATTTAAAAGAACTGCTCAGCTCCCTTTACCGTTTAACCCCCTGCTCAGATACAGTAGGGTCCAGATTCTCTTTCTCACTTCCCTGTTGGTTTGACTTGGTTTAAAGAAAGCTTATGCAAACTAAACCCCCCTCTCTATCTATGCCCCTGTGAAATCCACTTAGCTCATAAACTAGAACATTCTCGGCAACTCAGCTACCCATTCTCTCTCTCTCTTTTTAGGACAGGGTCTCACTCTGTCACTCAGGTTGGCATGCAGTAGTGCAGTCATGGCTCACTGCAACCTCGACCTCCTGGGCTCAAGGGATCCTCTCACCTCAGCCTCCTGAATAGCTGGGACTACAGGCATGTGCCACCACACCTGTTTTTTTTTCTTTGTGGAAATGTGGGTTCCGTGTGTTGCCCAGGCTGGTCTTGAACTCCTGGGCTCAAGCAATCCTCCTGCCTCAGCCTCCGGAAGTCTTGGGATTACCGGCATGAGTCACCATGCCCAGCCCCTTTCTCTTTTAATTCTTCACTTTTAAATCACAACATGTAGTATGTGTTATTTCACATTGTCCTTTGTAACGTTAAGTGACTAGGGCGTCTGAAAGGAAGACTACATGCCTAAAACATAACAAGCATTTATTATATTCACTAGTAGAGAACACTTTGGAGGCACAGCACAGAAAGGGAAGCAACTACAAAATTAAGATGATGCTGTTATTTTAATTAATGGACTCAACCTTCAGGGATTACTTCATGCATAGGATACTATATGCATTCATTCTAAGCATTGGCATATTGATCCTAAACTGCATAAGCAATACTTCATGAGGAAAAGCACATCTAAACATTTTAAACACAGCAATAACTATCCTCATGAAATAGATGCAATCCCCATTTCTGACCCACCTCCTAATTTTTCTATCACCATTCCTTTCATAAGAGTATTTCTATAGGATAAGCAAATCCATAATCAGCACCACATTTCAAAAGATGATCAGGAGACTCTTTTCTGCTAAGAAGACATATCTGAAGGGTATACTATGTGGCAGGCATGTTGTTTGCCTTCCCAAAGGTCATATTAACCTAATTTCCCAGCTACCACTATAGCTAAAACAGGGATGTAAGGTCCATCGTGGCCAAGGGAACTTGAGGGAAAGCAGACTTTCAGAATTCTGGAAATGGTTTCCCTCCTAATGAAAAGAGACACTGGTCCTCCTGCATTTGTGCAAGGTCGTGTGAAGCTATGATGCCTGGCTGCCATCATGTGACTATGAAGGGACAAGTTCCCAGACTAAGGATGACAGAAAAAGCCTATGTCTTATTTCGTCAATGAACCAACTACCTCTAAATTTCTTGTTATGTCAGATAATAACCCCCTATCATTATAACTTTTACTTGGGTTTTTGATACCTTAAAGTGAAAGTATCCTAACGGATCCTTGAAGCATTTTATTATTTATTTATTATTGATTAATTGATTGGTTGAGACAGGGTCTTGCTCTATCACCCAGGTTGGAATGCAGTGGCATGATCATACCTCACCACAGTCTTGAACTCCTGGGCTCAAGTGACTCTCCCACCTTACCTCCTAAGTAGCTGGGACTGTAGGCATTACCTTTTAAATTGAACTGAAAAAGAGAACCTGGACATTCAGAAAGTTGAAGAAAGGAGAGAATTTCTCCTAGTATCATCTAATTTGAACCTGCATTCTCCCCTACAGTCTAGACTCAAATTTCATGCTGAGAGATGAAAAGAGGCATTTATGGTAGAAAGTCCATCATTTATATTTGGTTTTTAATAGGCATTTAGGCTTTGGGAGGCCGAGGCGGGTGGATCACGAGGTCAACAGATTGAGACCATCCTGGTCAACATGGTGAAACCCCATCTCTACTAAAAATACAAAAAATTAGCTGAGTATGGTGGCGCATGCCTCTAATCCCAGCTACTCAGGAGGCTGAGGCAGGAGAATTGCCTGAGCCCAGGAGGCGGAGGTTGTGGTGAGCCGAGATCGCGCCATTGCACTCCAGCCTGGGTAACAAGAGCAAAACTCCGTCTCAAAAAAAAAAAAAAAATAGCCATTTAGGACAGTCAGATATACTCATCTGTACAGTTGATTGCCTGAAAGTCAAATTGAGAGTAAGGAGCAGAGGATACAAAGGGAAATCATAGATAATCAAAAAATCTTCCACAGGGTTAATGCATTTCCAGATCTTCAGGAATGTGTTCTCATTTTATTTAGTATGAGAAGTATCTTTATTGACCTTTATTCTAGGTCAAAACAAACAACCATAGGTTTATTTGTAGAAAATGAAGTTATTCATAGCAAAGAATAAAACGACTCAAAAGTAGCTGTTTTATTTTGGCATAGTACTAGTTTTAACAAATGTCAAATCCTCTTCTGGTACCAATATATCTTTACCTAATCTTCACGATTGAAGAAAATGACAATATAAGATACAATTTAGGGGGAAGAAAATGTGTTAATTATGTACCACACTAACCTAAAACATTTCCAAAATAAACTCAAGATTCCTTACCGCCCAAAACATGCAAATAAATATTTGTAACATCTTTTTGAAGTAGCTATGTTTTGGTATAAGAAGAAAGAGTCTCTGTTTTACAAGTTGAATTATTTAAAGTACATGAATAATTCTCCATAGCTTACCCAGTTTTATTTTTTTACATCAACTGGCCTACTAATAAGAAAGGTTACTGGTTGCAGGTGGTCAATCTCTTTGTAATGAAAGGGCTAAAATATGATACTGTGGCATATTATTAAATGTAAAGAAACTTGAAAAATAGCAGAAGCATGAAAAGCACTTTGACCCTTGTGCTGTTTCTTAGGAGCAGAAGATGAAATTCCAGTGTGAAAGATGCTCTATACTAGAAGAAAAGGCAACATCCTAAGCTTCAAAGATAAGAAGTAGAATCCTGTGCAGACCTTGTTCAAATAACTCTTATTTTTTAAGCCTCCCCATATAATTTAATCACACAATGTCTATTTAATTCTCGGACCCAGCAGAGACCCTAACAGAATGGTGGTGTAATTTTTCTACCCCTACCGTAAGCATGGTATAGTGTATACTGTGTAATGTTAATATAACATATAGCTCATACTCTGTATTGTCTATTAAATATAGTATGTTAATTTGGATGTATACTATTTATGTAGTATATAGTCAAATAAATACTTATTGTTTAATGATTCCTTTATTTTACTTAAGAATATATTATGTGTCCCAAAGTGCTGTGATTACAGGCGTGAGCCACCACTGATCATCTGAGGTCAGGAGTTCGAGACCAGCCTGGCCAACATGGCAAATCCTCATCTCTACTAAAAAATACAAAAGATTAGCCTGCATGGTGGCGCATGCCTGTAGTCCTAGCTACTCCATAGGTTGAGGCATGAGAATCGCTGGAGCCCAGCAGGCAAAGGTTGCAGTGAGCCAAGACCAGCCCACTGCACTCCAACCTGGGCGACAGAGTCAGATTCCGTCTCTAAATAAATATATAAAATAAAAGAATATATTATGTGCATGTATCTATATATGCACACAAAATATTTCTATTTTAAAGAACTTCATACTTGTAGCATTTATCCAGAAAAGACATGTGCAATAGTTTAAGAAATTATATGCACATTCTCACATAGATCTCAAAGTAAAATCTAAAGCACGGATTTTTGTGCAGCACCTTTCATATGGCAGTATAACTGGGTGGCGTTAAGAGTACCATTCCAGAACCTCTTTTAAAAGTTCCTGGAGCCACACATGGGTAACATATTAACCTTAAATAGCCAATGGTGTTCAAATGAACAGTCGTTTCACATACTCATGACTATGTTTTAACCATAAGTTCACTCCAGAATGACTGCAAACTGGCAGAGCAGCCACGAGCCATTGTGTCTGAGTCCGCGCTCATGTGATGGCCCTGGACAAACTGATGAGTGTCTCTAGTAGCTCGATGTTGTAGTGTCATAACTACAGCTTCATATGGGCAACTGTGAAGAAGCTGAGGAGTCAGGTGTGTCTGAAAACTCTTGCAGTTACAGGAAGAAAAATTCCCTGTTCATTCAGCACGACACACTTCGGCAAGAAACCCCACATTCGAAACCCGGAAGTGGGAGGTGAAACCGAAGAGGGTGCAGGCAGCACCAGGCCCGCTGGGTGGTGGCTGGAGCCTGCGGGTGGGAACAAGAGCGCGGCAGAGAAGACGCAGAGGAGCGCACTCACCAGAACCACTCGCTACCGAAGCTGGGCACGGAAAACACGCCCCAGTGGATGAAGATGCCGAACTTGGCCTGGTCGAACCACGCGGGCAGCTGGCGGGCGTCCAGGGACTCCCAGGTGGGGTCGAAGCGCGCAGCGCTGCGGGCAGGGCAAGGCGGCAGCAGCGGCGGCAGCAGCAGCAGCGGGAGAGCGAGGCCGGGGAGCTCCCTGGGCCGCATGTCCCCCCGCGCGGGCCGGCTGTCTTCTTTGCAGGCTGGCGCGGCCTCACAGGGGCTGTCCTTCCGTTTTATTGCTGCTGAGTATGCCGCGCCGCTGTCACCTGACCAAGCCGGACTTGGAAACAGGCCACCCTTCCCCCTCCGGGGCGGGAGTCGCCACTCTCCCGGGCACTCGCAATAACCCCAGGAGGGCTGCATCGCTCAGCGTGACTAAGGAGGCCCCCATTACCCCAAAGCCAGCTGCCATGGCTTTGCTAAGGCTCTGTCCGCTTTGAGGGGGAAAATATGAGTCTGCGTCAGGGCCCTGTGACCAGCGCCTCTGCCCTCAAGCAGGCACGACCCTGCCCAAATATCTGCCCAAGAGGACCACGCCACCAGCCCGCCTGAGTGCTGCTCCACACGTCCGAGTCGTGGACGAGAAGGTCAGGGCAGTAACCTCAGCCAGGTCTCGCCAAGATGGAACATGGAAAGTAACCTAGATGGTTCTCAGCCTCTGTATCAGCTCCCAAGGTCTGTATGTTAGAACCATGGCTGTCAACCTCGAATTTATGTCAGAGGAAATTCCAAGAGCTTCAGATTCAGCAGTTAGGTTGGGGCCCAAGAATTTGCATTTCTACCCAGTTCCCAGAAGATTCTGTTGTTGGGCAGGACGCCGTGGCTCACACCTGTAATCCCAGCAGAGGCGGAGGCAGGCAGATCACAAGGTCGGGAGATTGAGACCATCCTGGCTAACACGATGAAACTCCGTCTCTACTAAAAATACAAAAAATTAGGGGGGGTGGGGTGGTGTGAGCTTATAGTCCTAGCTACTCGGAAGGCTGAGGCAGGAGAATCGCTTGAACTGAACCCGAGAAGAAGAGGTTGCAGTGAGCCGAGATGGCACCACTGCACTCCATCCAGCCTGGGCAACAGAGCTAGACTCTGTCTCAAAAAAAAAAAGATTCTGACGTTGCCGGCAGTGAGCCAAACTTTCCTGAGAACCACTGCATTAAACAAGCAGATTATCTGAGACAGGTGAAACCAGTGGAATGAATGTTTAAGAAATCTGCAAGCTTGGGAAAAGCCATCAACACCTTGGAATGATTAATCAAAAGGACATTTGGGAAGCTTATCTCCTCCACCTGTTTTTTGTTTGTTTGTTTGTTTGTTTTTTGAGACAGTCTCATTCTGTTGCCCCTGCTGGAGTGCAGTGGCACAATCTAGGTTCACTGCAGCCTCTGCCACCCTGGTTCAAGCAATTCTCCTGCCTCAGCCTCGCAGGTGACCAGGACTACAGGCACCCACCACCATAGCAGACTAATTTTTGTAGTTTTTTTTCATAGAGATGGGTTTCACCATGTTGGACTAGCTGGTCTTAAACTCCTGACCTCAGGTGATCCACCCACCTCAGCCTCCCAAAGTGCTAGAATGATAGGCATGAGCCCCCATGCTTGGCCTCTCTTCCACCTCTTAAGTGCTTTCAAAGTAAAGCCAGAATCCCCAACTGCTTCTGCCTCCACAAAATCGTTACCCTTCAGTGAGCCAATCCAAATGCCACCTCTTCTGTGAAGCTTTCTGCCACCACCCTTCCCTCCCCGAATGTTGTACTTCCCCTAACCTGCATCATAACACCTTCTTCCAAGCACACACAGGATTCCATGCATCCTCTAGTAGCTAGCTAGGTGTTACAGGTCTGGTTTCCCATCAGACTGTGAGCTTTGTGAGGGCATTCATAATGGCCTTCCTTTCTGTATTGCCCACATTTACAGCAGAGAAGCGACACTCAAAACATGTTTGTTGAAGCTCTTCAGTGAACTGAGGTTCTAATTATTGAGTGAAAAACTTGACACTAAGAGGCCTGCATTCTCCCTTCCCATTTCTGCAGACACGGGAGCAGCAGAGGGTGCTGTCACTGCAGGTATAGGGCCATTTTTCCTCCTGATGACATGCCAGATGGCCCCCTGGAGCCACAGCTCCACTATAAGGGTCCCCAGTTTTGTTTTGTTTTTTTTTTACAATGAGGGTGTTCTAGAAGAAAGGGCTCAATGAATCCACTGAGCATGGATTACCAATTGCAACAGCTCCAGTTTGTGATAAAGAAAGATGACAATTTTTTTTTTTTTTTGAGATGGGGTCTCATTCTGTTGCCCAGGCTGGAGTACACTGGCATAGTACTGACTCACTGCCACCTCCACCCCTGGGGGTTCAAGCAATTCTCTTGTCTCAGCCTCCTGAGCAGCTGGGATTACAGACACCACATTCAGCTTTTGTATTTTCAGTAGAGACAGGGTTTCACCATGTTGGCCAGGCTGGTTTTGAACCCCTGATCCCAAGTGATCCTCCCACCTCAGCCTCCCAAAGTGCTGGGATTACAGGCATGAGCCACTGTGCCTCGCCCGACAATTTTTATTATCTAGTTCGTGAAACCCACAATGATCTAGGGCCTCAGTGGCCACTGAACGCTGGGGCATGCTTGAACCAAAAGACGGACTTCTCAGCCACTATGTGTTGACACCCTCTCTAATCAGAAGTTTGTGTAATAAGCACAGAAAACAATTTTTACAGTGACAATGATACTGTGACCTGCCAAAGGGCGAGTAGACATGATTGTGGTGACAATGCAGCAGCAGCAGGACCCTGACCTCTCATGAGTGGGTGTCATTTCCCCACGTGAACAACACAGAGCAAAAGTGTCCATCTTCCAAAGTCCTTTTATCAAGTTATGAATTATTTACACTTTCATATATTTCAGTTCAAGAGTGGTCATCAAATCTGCATGGATGCCACTTGGGTCATTTATTATTTTACTTGAAGGCAAAAAAATGTTTTTAATTCATAAATACAACCTTATCATAAAAGTCTATTTTCTGTAAGAAATACTGAAACTATATTAAAGACCTCCCTTAATGCCCTTCAGGACACATAAGAATCCTAATATAGGCAGGGCACAGTGGCTCATGCCTGTAATCCCAGCACTTTGGGAGGCCAAGTTGGGAGGATCACAAAGTCAGGAGTTCGAGACCAGCCTGACTAACATGGTGAAACCCCATCTCTACTAAAAATACAAAAAATAGCTGGGTGTGGTGGCAAATGCCTGTAATCCTAGCTACTCAGAAGGCTGAGGCAGGAGAATTGCTTGAACCTGTGAGGCAGAGGTTGCAGTGAGCCGAGATTGCACCACTGGACTCCAGCCTGGCATCAGAGCAAGACTCTGTCTCAAAAACAAAAAAAAAAAGAAGAAGAATCCTAGTATACCAGGTTGAGAACCATTGCTATGGGATTTGAAAGGAATCACAAATAGTTTTATCTGGAAATGAAGAGGAAGAAGAGATTCTACTTAAAAATATTTGTTAAATGACTGAAAAAAGAAATCTATGAAGTAGTTTAGAACATGGTCCTTTATGGAGAGACCTGCCTGCGGTAGATTCCACTCACATTTTATAAGTTTGTAATGCCTTACAATGCTAGTCTTTGCACATAAAGCTACTGCTAATTGAGCAATAGAATCATACCTCATAAGGCTTAAACTGTCTATTTAAAGGTTTTGATAGGGGACCCAGAAACCTGAGCAAAACCCAGGGTTCTGCAGGTGCACATGGCTCATGTATAAGGCATTTGAAAAGCGTGTGGCCTTGATGGGGAACACTGTCAACTCCGATCCTGTTTGTCTGAGGTCACTTGGGGTACAAGATGAAGACAGAAGGACGTACCTCCCTTCTGGAGCCACCACAGCCAGCAGCCGCATGTTGGACAGCTGCTGATACTCAGGGCGCTCAGGCGGGAGAGGGTGAGAGGCCAGTCCTAGCCAAATTCCTTGCTGCTGCTGGAGGAAGCAGTCTGGCCACGTGTGTCCACAGGGATATGATAAGCTGCTGAGCTGGAGCTGATAGCGGAGCGAGGCTCTCGAGGACACATTCTGGATAAATCTCCATATAGGAGTTGGATGACTGCCACCAGCCAGTCTTGGCAGTCCCCAGAGTTCTTCTGAAGTGGACAGTGGAAGAAATTAAACATTTGCCCGGCAGCTGGCATCAATGCAGTCTCTCTCTGGATATGCAGAAGAAAAGGTTCAAAAGGAACTGAACCCAATCCAGTCTTTATATGGTAAATAGCCCAGCTTCATGGTAGAAGAGCAGGCATGGGTAAATAAAGAAAACTCGCCTTTTTCAGGCCAGGTGGCAGGGAAGAGAAGCACAGAGGAATAAAAGGAGGAGGCCCCAGGGTTCAGCAGAGAGGGGAGAGCCACCAAGCCATGGCCCCACTCCAGCCTCTGCCATAGAGCTGTGTGATCCTCGGGAAGGCTTTGGAAGGCATTCAACCTCTTTGTCCCTCAGTTTCTTCACTTATTAAATGTGAATGATAATTGTACATCTTCCTCCTAGGGGTGTTGTGAGAATTAAATCATGCAAAGTACATGTTAAGCCTCTTCTATGTGTGGACCAGTATTACCGTGTGTGTGTTCAATAAATTCAGGGGAGCCTATGGAAAGGGGTATTTCTCTCCTGATTCCCATTTAGCCTGAAGTCCTAAATGCCAATCAGGACAGAATATCCTGATTAAGACTTGGGCTAACTGGCAAGTATAGCAAGGTACAGCCATGTTAGAAAGAGAGGCTACTTTTTAGCTTTCCTGGGGTGACCTTGATATTCGAGTGACACAAACAGGACCCAGAAGTAGCCAAGAACCTAACAGGAAATCTGCCCTGAGTGGTTCTCTGTGGCAGGGCCTCCTGAGCCAAGGACCTGGGGCTCACAGCCCTGCCTCAGAGGACTCTCTCCAGTCTGTGGAAACTGAGAGGGTTGGGGAGGCCAATATAGACCAGATCTTGAATTAGAGCAGCTTTGGGCTTCATCTGGGAGCAATGAAAGAATGAGTGTCAGCACTCCAGGACCCGAGGAGGCAGGGTGGCATGTTCCTTCCCAGGACCTGGAGAACACCTCAGGCCCCCTGCCCCTAGTCCATGCCACCTTAGAGAGCAGCAGGGGAAGGGAGGCATCTGTGATATTAAGCATTGTTACCCAAAGGACAGCCTACATATTTGCTGAATACGACACTGTTTAATTGACAAGATTTGCCTAGGTTTAATGCAGATTGAATAGTTAAGTTCGATCACCAACCACCCAGGTTGTGCACGGGGGAAAGGAGCAAGCTCTCTGCTAAGGTAAGCAGGGTGACTATAAACAAAAGCAAATTGCCACTTTTTCTCTGCACCAGGGTCATCAGTGGCAGGTAACTGAATGACCCTAGTATGCAGTTAAGCATCAGAGCACACAACACAT